ATTATCAGTGGACTTGGTTGCACGGAGCAGGGGATTACGGCTGTGTGCGAGTGAGTTATATGCGCTGAAACTTGATGTTAAATGGCAAGAAAAGGGAAAAAAGGATCAAGTGGGGGGGATGGAAGTGCGGACATTCAGCAGGCCAGGACTCGCCTCTCCTTTCGAGTGTGCGTGTGTATGCCGTGGCTCTGTTTGGCCGGATATTAAGCTCGTTTGCATATAATTTGCGTGCCACAGACCGCAACAGAAACACAAACTGATTCTGCAACCGAATCTGAGTCCGAGTTCGAGTTTGAGTCCAAGCTGGGCGGGATGCTCTTGATGGTTTTTTGGCCTTGTCGCGATAAGAACGCAGAACGCAGAGCGCAGAATGGAGAATGCAGAAGTGGAGCAGGGACCCATTAAGAAGTCCAGGCCGGAGTGAAGCAATTAAGTTTGCGGTGGATATCAGGACATCTGCCAGTCCTGACGGAGGGGTTATGCTTTCATCCTTCTGCCCGCACTGAAACTGCGTTTGGTAAGTGCGAAAACTGACACTTTCTGTGGCATATTTATGGACGGTAATGAGAGATGGATGAACGTGTGTGTGTGTGTGTGGCAAGCAAACGAAAACTGTTACTGACGGTGAAAAGCACTCCGAACATTGCCGTCGGCTGCCCCACCTCATCTTGGCTGGCAATCAGCCAAAGTCTTGAAACACTTTTGCATAAGTTGAGCTCATACATATGCCCGCTGCGTCCTCCTTTCTGCTTTTTAATCCTTTCTGCGCCGGGGATGCTTTGTCTTGGCCGGGAAATGCCTGCTGGGTAGGCGTTGATTATAATTGACTTTGGCTGACTTAAGTGCCAAAATGGAAATTCCATGTAGCGAGGGTGGGCGGTCTAAATACTTCATATACTCCCCGTATGTAATGTACAAATTGCACGATAGGGGGGAGCCATGGCAACGGTTACCATTTTCCATTTCCCATTTCCCAATTTTCCGCTATCCCACTTTCGCACAATGCCTGAAAAAAGACTTACGAGGCATTCCTTAAATCAAATCAAATGATGTGCAACAATTTTAATATAATCAGAATGTGGACGACCATTCCAAGTCCAAGACGTTGTCCTGGCCACTGGTCAGCCAGTCAGTCCGTCATGGGGGCAGCAAATTATGTTAAGTGTTCGCATATCCCTGCCTTGCCAGGAATCCGGCTTAGAAATGGATGGAAAAAAAAAAATGTGGAAAAGGTGGAATGCTTCTTGCGAAAAACTTGTATCAAACGACTTCGCCATGGAAACCCTCATCCGAATACAAAGTAAGGGTTGTGGGGCAATGATTTGTGTGCGTGAGTCGCAAACAAAAAGCCATTACAAACTTCCAGTTTCCTGGCAAAGTTTCGCCACCTGACGCTGGGTATTTCCGTGGTAGCTCCACTGCCGCATCCCGTAAAGGAACTTGAACGCCACAGGGTAGCCCACTTTCGACTCCCGGCCAACTGCTAACTGGCTCAATTTCTTTTCGCACCTCGACGGTGGAAAAAGTGCGCGGAACTGACATTAAAAAGTTGCGACCTGCTGACGTGCTCCATGTCGCAGTGGCAGTCGCAGTCCCAGTCCCAAACGCAAAGTTCCATATCCCGGCGATCCTCATCACAATTATCATTACCATCAGCATCGGCATCGTAGCCGGTTTGATGGAGAGTGCCATCGGAATGATTAAAAAAGTTTCGGGTGCCAAAATCTGCATTTAAAATATCATTTGGGGTCAACGGCTCTTCCGCCGCCGCCGACGTCTCTGGCCTGCGGCAGTGCATCCCCAGTAGCCCCAACAGCCCCGGCATTCCGGTCTCCGGAAAATAATTGATCCCCAGCGTCTCGTTTTCCACTGACTGGCACACACACGCGCCTCGCAGAAAAATCAAATTGAAGTCTATAACAAGCGAGTGACCGCCTCATAAAGCAATTAAGTGCATGTGGCTGACCAAGCAGCAACGTGTTGGAATATCCCCAACAACGGCAGCCCAGGATAACCGACCCGACCCGACCCGACGGGTCCTGGATGGAAGAGGAGGACGGGCGTCTGCTGTTGATGCCGCAGACTGCATCGGAATCTGGCCGAACTGCAGGTTACACCCTGAGAAGCCGGGCAAATATCGTGATTCGGCCTCCGCATAAACCGACCCACACGGAAGGATGCGAAGGATGCGCAGGATGCGGAGCTCTCAAGTAATTCATAGCATTAATTATATTATATGACCCATGCAGGAGGCAGTCACCAGCAGAGGGCCTTGGATCGAGTGGAGGTGGGTTTTAGCCCAGTGCAGATGAGTCCTCTGCTCCTCGCCCATCGCCCCCGCTACTCACTTGACTTCTGACCAATCCTTTTTCTTCTAAAGTGGTGCGCAATTTGGATTAAAAATAAATTGGCTTATTAATATTTAATTATTTCGGGGTGTAACAAAAAATAGTGACAAGTATAAACAAACAGGAAATGGCAAATTTGCCATGGTTCATTTCTTAAAAACTACACAGTATATCCATAAATTTTACAGGAACTAAAATTAAAGTTTATATTAAAAACAGTGACTTTCTATCATTAACTTTTTTTTGGATTATTATTATAGTTTTGTGATTTGCGATTACGACGTGGCAAAATCGCTGATAGTCTGCATTACAATTTGTAAACCCTTTGTAGAGTGTATTATAATTTAAGTCAAAAGTTTTTTGTCGTTTTAAAGTGGCATAATTTTAAATGATAGTAATTTAATTCTCGTAAAATCTGTATTTTCAACTTGTTTTGTATTTTGGAGTCGATTTTTCGATATTTTAATTTTCGAAAAATGGGCTTGCAGAAAAGTTACCTAAATCCTGCACTTCTTAGCCCATAACTTTTCTTACAGACATCTGATTTCAAAGTGGCATACTTTAAAATGATTGTGGCCCAATTCTCTAAGAATCTGTGTTTCCACATTTTTTTTTATGTTTGGGTCGATTTTTCATCATTTTAAGCAATGTAACCCCTTTCCAAATTTTCGAAAAATGGGTTTGCAGAAAAGTTACCTAAATCCTGCACTTTTTAGCCCATAACTTTTCTTACAGACATCCGATTTCAAAGTGGCATACTTTAAAATGATTGTGGCTCAATTCTCTAAAAATCTGTGTTTCCACTTTTTACTTTATTTTGGGGTCGATTTTTCATAATTTTAAGCAATGTAACCCCTTTCCAAATTTTCGAAAAATGGGTTTGCAGAAAAGTTACCTAAATCCTGCACTTCTTAGCCCATAACTTTTCTTACAGACATCCGATTTCAAAGTGGCATACTTTAAAATGATTGTGGCCCAATTCTCTAAAAAACTGTGTTTTGAACTTGGCTTGGAGTTTTGGATCGATTTTTTGTCATCTTTTATTTTGTTATTATAGTTTCACAGTTTTTTTTGCTATATATTTTTTTTACCATATTAGGCATTGAAATATAAAATATTAAACTTGTATAACATCTACAAGGGCATAAAAACTTCGGCTTGCCGAACCTTGCTTCTTTCTTGTTGATTTTAAAGTATACCAATTTCTGACCGATTTTTGCTTAATTTATGCGCAGCCCGTGCTTCGCCTCCAGCAACAACAATGGCCATAATATTAATTGTTTATAAATAAATATGCATATATTGCCAAGGGAAGTTTATGGGCCGCAGGCGCTAAACGTTGCGTTGCAGTTTTATTATTTTGTTTGTTTGGCCATGGCCAGATAAAAGTAATTAACGCCTATTTCGAAATGGACAGAAGAGGGGGCGGGGAGGCCAGAACAATGGACAGCGGCGGGCCATAATTATTATTGACTTATTGGCCACAATGGCATTTAAGAGAGGCCAGCACACCCGGCTCGGAATCGCGAAAGTATTTGCATAAAATTTGCATTGACAACGGTTGAAAGCAATTGAAACAATAATTTCGTCATTAATGTGCGACAATCCGATCACCTCCTCTCCGGTTCCCTGTTCTCCGGCTGCCACCTGGATGGACGGACAGACGGACGGACTCCTCTGTGTTCCCGCGCTGTGTGCGAATTGAAAACGTGCTTATCGCCGTGCATCAGCAACGGACGGAGTGGACTCGGATTGGGTTGGAATTGGAATTGGGATTGGGATTGGAATTGGGATTGGCATTGGTCGGACGATGGCATTTTTCTGCCATTATTCGCCCACTGCAATTGTTTAACGCGTTTAATTACATTTGTTGGCCGGCACTTAATGTTTTTATAATTAATAGAATCAATATTGATACTGCCCCCCATTGATCCTCCAATGGCCTGCCCTTAACCCGGTGGCATCCACTCCGATTTCGATTCCGATTCGGATTCCCATTCCCATTCCAATTGCACCGCAGCTGTGGTTAATTGTAGATTAAAAATGTAGCCAATGCGGTTGCGGTTCAGGGAAGCGTTAAATGTCTGGTCAAACTATGGGCGTTGGGTAAACACAAAGCTCGGCCGGCACAGTGGCCACTCGCTGGGATGCACCAGAGAGTAGAACTCAGCCAGCATGTTCCCCGTAGTCGGGTTTCCCTCTTTTAAATGTTTAATGTTTATTTGCCGCGACTTGCATTTAATTACATTCGCCTCACACATGAGAAGAGCTGTAAGCATGCATGCGAAATGCACGGGGAGATTCCCCTCCTCCTCCTCCTCCTCACCTCACCCAATCCTCGCCAGTGGAAACTGGATACGGGACTCCCTCTTGAGGCGGCTGGCAAAGGACGCTTTAGAATGCAGGCAGCGTAAAAGATTAGCCCGATTAGTTCAAAGGGTTCACAGCCCACCCTGCCCCTTGTGGCCCACTTGAGAATTCCACGGCGTAAACACATTTCCTTTCCTATTTTTTTGACTCAGATTCCGATTGGGATTTAAGGCAGGGGGCATAATCATCATCATCCATGGCTAATGCCGCGATTTGCTATTCGCACATCGTTATATGAATATGGAATGGCCAGCGGATGAGGGGTGGATTCTCAATGAAATCTAAATTGTGCGGAGTGTGCGTGTTTTATTTAACCAAAAAAATAAGGAAACAAAGAAACAAGTGAATTTCGATTTGACTAGATTGAATTTGGAACGAAGTGGCCATGTTTTACACGTAAAATTTGAATGAAAAGAAACTGCCCCGCCCCGGTGCAATTCTATTGCAACACGGAGGCGTAGGACGGTTGGGTGATCTTCTGCTGGCAGGTTGCCCCTTCGGGGGCAGGTCCTTCCTCACCCTGCGGCTGAGTGCTGGGTGGTCTCGGCGCGGCTGGCGACGCAACCCTCGATCCGGATTGACGTGGGCTGGGGTCATGCGGCTTGGGGCCACAGTGCTGTCGGAGATCGTGTCCAGGAGTCGCTGTCATTTGCTGCACCATCTCGCCACCGATCGACATTTCTGGTCCCATTCTGTTGGGCGTGTTGCCTCTTCCGGCTCCTCCTTCACCTATGTACGGCATTGGCATCTTGTTCAGCTCCGGACTGTTGCCATTCAGGTGGAAATTTTGCATCGCATTGAGATTGACGCGGGGACTCGTGTTGCGATTGGACGGTGGGATATTCATGGGCATTCCTTGCTGCATATTGGGATGGTTCATACTTGTGGGTATACCCTGTGGTACACCTTGTGATACACCTTGTGATACACCTTGTGGTACACCTTGTGGTACACCCTGTGGTACTCCCTGTTGCATACCCTGCGACATACCCTGTGACATATCCTGAGGCATACCTTGTTGCATACCCTGTGGTATACCCTGTTGCATACCCTGCTGCACACCCTGTTGCATATTCTGTGACAAGCCCTGTGGCATACCCTGTTGCATACTGTGTGGCATACTCTGCGGCATACCCTGTTGCATATTCTGTGGCATACCCTGTTGCATATTCTGTGGTATACCCTGTGGCATACCCTGTTGCATATTCTGTGGTATACCCTGTGGCATACCCTGTTGCATATTCTGTGGCATACCCTGTTGCATAGCCTGTGGCATACTGTGTGGTATAGTCTGCGGCATACCCTGTTGCATATTCTGCGGCATACCATGTGGCATACCCTGTGGCACACCCTGTTGCATGCCCTGTGGCACACCCTGTGGCATACCCTGTGGCACACCCTGTCCCAGACCTTGCGGCATACCCTGTGGCATACCCTGTGCCATTCCTTGCGGCATACCATATGGCATGTTGGGCTGCGGCATACCCTGCTGAATACTCTGCTGCATGTTCGGCTGTGGCATCCGGCTCGGGCTGAGCATCTGCACCGGCAGGGGCAGCAATCCGACCCCCATTCCCATGCCTCTGCCTCTGCCCATGTGGTTCATGTGGTTGACATGGTTCATGTGGTTCACGTGGTTCACATGGTTCACTGGACCACCGCTCATTTGCGGGGGCAGCATGTTCTGGCCGATGTTGCCGTTAAAGGGCATCCCGGGGTGGGATTGATACTGCTGGTGGGTCATGTGGTGGCCATGCGGACCATGAGGTCCTCGACTGGGACTCGGACTGTAGCCGCGACCACGTCCGTTGCCGTATCCGTGTCCGGGTCCCTGCCCGTGTCCGTTGCCATTCATCAAACCCAGGTTGCCATTGACGTTTTGCATCATCATGGGCCGCTCCTGCCGCATTTGGTACATGGTGGGCGGTGGACCGGCTGGTCTCATGTAGATCCCACTGGGACCAGGCTCGTGGCCCATCATGGCTGGATTGGCTGGATTGGCTGGGTAGTCGGGATTGGGTCGCTGCTGGCCGTACATGGGGCCGTAGTTATTGTAGTGGTTGTTGTTAAAGTGCTCCGGCTCCTTCGGCTGGTTGTCAGCTGGAACTTGGAAGCCGATTGGGGGAGCTCCATTGGGACCAAAGCCGTTTCCGGGCATTGGAGGCATTTGAGGGATTGGTGGCATTTGAGGCATTTGTTGCATTGGTGGCATTGGTGGCATTTGTGGCATTGGTGGCATTGTCTGGGAGGGGAGCTCCCGATGGTCCCGAGCAACGGCATAGCCCGGGAAATGGGTGGGGGGCATGACGTGGGGCTGCACCTGGGCGCAGGGCACGTTGCCGCGCGGCGTCTGCGGCATTTGGTGCTCCTGGTAGGTGGCTCCATAGCCCGTCTGGGAGCGATTGGGCAGAAGGGGGGTCTCCGACAAGACGTAGTTAACGAAATCGACCTCGCCGAAGCAGAAGGGCCGGGAATTGGAACCGACCAGTTCGTTGATCTGCTGCTCCACCAGGCCGGCTATATCCTCGACCCCGAGTTCTCGAGGTTCGTTGGCCCGCGCCACCTGCTCCTCCTCTTCCTCCTCCTCGTCCTCCTCCTCCTCATCTTCCCCCTCATCCTCTTCCTCGTCATCCTCCTCCCCTTCATCCTCGCCCCCCTCCTCCTCTTCGTCGCCTTCCTCCTCTTCCTCACCTTCCTCGTCGCCTTCCTCCTCTTCGCCATCCTCGCCGTTGGCCTCCTCCTCCTCCTCGATGTTGCTGCTTCCCGCGCTGCCCCGCCGCTCCGACCCCCCCGCCTCGATCCGCGATCGGAAACTGAGGTTCACGCTGGCGGAGTTCTCGCTGCGCGACGTGTCCGACGGCCTCCTCCTAGCGGTATAGGTTCCGTCCAGGTTCAGCCACAGCTGCATCTCCAGTTCAACCGGCCGACCTGGACTGCCGCCCGAGGTGGATGGGCCATGGGCCTGGGCCGCTTGGTGACTGCCAGAGGGCCTCACCACGACCGGATCTCCCCGACCACCAAAGTTCGCATTCGGGTAGCCTCGTCCGCCGTTACTCTGGCCGGGACGTCCGCTGCCAATGGGTCCGTAGCGGCACTGGTTGCCCCCACCGAACTGACCCGAGCGGTAGCCGAAGCGACCCGACTCCGGATAGCGCAGTGATCCGCCCAACTTGTGCGGCTGGGGGTGATGCGGCGCCATCGGATGACCCGGCTGCATTCCCGGATGGGGGTTCGGGTAACTCGGATGCTGGAAGGAACCATGCGAATGGGGATGTGGTGGCTGCATGTGATGCGACTGTGGATGCGGCTGGGGATGGGGGTGCGTCTGGGGATGGGGATGCGTCTGGGGATGGCGATGCGTCTGGGGATGGGGATGCGACTGGGGATGGGGATGCGACCCCTGATGTGGGTGCATTGGCATTCCTGGCGAAGAGCGTATAAAGTGGATTCGATTATAGACCTGGCAGAGTAACTTACCCATGGGCCTGCCCCAAAGGCCAAACTGCTGCGTCGGTGGTCCGTTTTGTGGCGGTCCGTTCGGTGGTCCAGGTGGATACGGTTGCTGCATCATGGGTCCGCTAGGGCCACCACCCGGATGTCCTCTCATCCGAGGTCCGTTGGGGGACATCTCGAAGACCGCCGGTGATCCCGGGAAGTAGGCCTGCGGAGGCACAGATTCACCTTCACTCGGCGAGAGCAGCATGCACTTGCACCGGAACTCCGTCTGGGTGGTGGCATCCACCAGCTTGGGAATCGCCTGCGGGGATGGCGGGGGAGGAGGGGTAGCTGGCCTCGAATCGCCACCAACTCACCTGGATGCGGGCCAGATCCTCGGGCGTGAGGCTGTGCGGATGGCTGTCGTAGGGCAGGTCGAGTCCAGTGGCGGTCGCCCAGGGACGTGGGGCATTCTGCGGGAGAGGTTAGAGAGGGTCAGGTGGTCAGGTGGTCATCAGAACTGTGCACCTAATCTTACCGCCGGCAGGAAGAGACTCGGATGCAGCGGCGGTGTCTCCAGAATGGCGGTGGTGTAGGCGGCCATCTGGGTGGGCGTCATGTGCTGGAAGGGACCTTGGAGCAGCGGCGCCAGCAGGTCATTGGCTCGTATCAGCAGGTTTCGCAGTGTGGCCATGAACTCGTCCATTTGCCCGGCGAAGTTACCGAAGGGCGGGAACTTTGCCCAGGTCCCCTTATCCGGATCTCCAGCCAATCCGGAGGAACCCGGCGGCGAGGTCGTCGTCTCGGTGCCGTCGAAAACCCGGCTGCGATTGTGGTTGGTACCGCACTCCGTCTCCCTGGACAGATCCGGCTCCGGCACTGCCGCCGGCGGCTCATTGATGGTGTTCGGTCGGAAGCAGGGCACCCACGTGGTGGGCGGCTCCGATGGTGATGCAGGTGGTGATGTGGACAGTCCCAGTCCTCCGGCGCCCTGCTCGCCGGACTCCTGATCCATGCCCAAGCCAAAGCTGTTGCAGTTGCGCTCGCCACGGCCTGATTTGAGAAAGAGATAGCTCCGCGGGATATCGCCTCCCGGTCCGATGTAAGGTCCAGTTCCATTCTCCAAACCAAACTCGAAGGAGTGCCGCAACGGCGGCTTGCGTGGAGCATTCTCTGAGTCATTGGCCCGCTCCTTGGCCTTGTAGGAGCCCATGGGATAGAAGACGGGTGCGTAGGGCGACATCTGGGCTCCGCTCGAGGTGTCCGACACGCTCTGCGGTGTGTCCATCTTGGCTGGGGCATCCGGATTGCCGCTGGGCGTCCTTGGCGGAGGCTGTGTGGCAGGTGCAGGGTCTGGCGGTGGTTCCGGACTTGGTGGTGGTTCAGGTCCTGGTTCTGCCTCAGGTCTTTGCTCTAGTACTAGTACTGGTACTGGTACTGGCACTGTCTCAGGTCCTTGTTCTAGTACTGCACCTGCTACGGGTCCTGTTTCCGGTCCTTGTTCTGGTGCTGGTCTTGGTAGTGCTGGCTCAAGTCCTTGTTCTGGTGCTGGCCCTGGATCCGGTGGAGGTCCTGGTGGAGGTCCTGGTTCAGGTCCTGGTTTAGGCTCTGGCTCTGCCCCTGGTTCCTGATCTGGCGGCGGCTCAAGATCTGCAGTGCTCGATGCGAGGATAAGAGGGAAGTCAGGAAAGGCCAAGGACTTACCAGCGGAGGAGTTGGCAGTCTCTCCGTTCGCTATTGGGCCGGCCAGCGGAGGAGGAGGACCCAGTTCGCCAGTGGACACTACCGGTTCCGTCATGTTGAAAAGGAGAGGAGAGTCCAAGGATTCCTGGATGCACAAGAGGCCATGTTGCGTGACTCGTTATGTGTGTGTGATTTGATTAGGACTCGCTTACACTTCTGCGGCTGTCTTGCGAAGGATGCGGAGGGATCAGCTCTCCTTGTGCCAGACTCGTGTGCTCCAGTTCAAGGACGTGCTTCGCATGGGCAAGACAATGCTCCAGCTACCCACCCTCCCCCCCTCCCCCACCGTCTCCTGGTGCTGCTTCCTCCCGCTGGATATCCTGTGTCTGCGTGGCTGCTGTGAAAACATTTTTGCAATTATTTCAAATATTTTTCAACACGGCTTTGAAACGGCGACGTGCCGACGAGGATGAAACCCTTTTGTTCTCCTCCATCTTGCGCCAAAATATTTTTCCACATTTTATTTTGCGCATATTTTTTTACTGCCTCGCCTTGGCGCGAAATTAGCGTGAGGCAAAGGAGAAAGGAGCAAGGGCGGGGCAAAAGGGACGGCGAAGATAAACTTTAAATAAAACATGGCACACAAAGGGCAAAGGAAGGGGTTGCAAGGAGCACGAGGCAGGAGGCAGGAGCAGGGGGTGTTGCTCCCGGAGGAGAGACGTCGAACGGCGCGGCACAGACCGCAATTCAAATAAAATCCTTTAGGGCTTTTGACTTTTAACTCATCCGTTTAACGAGCGCTCATGTTCGTGAGGCAGCAAAATATGCAATCCCGCCCAGGGGGTGGTGGGGATTTCATTTCCCGGCCAGGACAGCACCCTTGACACCTACACACACACATGCGAAGACAGAGAGCCAGGCACGTCCTTCGTCCTTCGTCCTCCGTACTCCGTGCCCCATGCAATTGCAAAACGAGAGCGAAACAAAACGCGAAACAAGCAAATCCAAGGCAAATCAAGTTTAGGGAGTATGCGACCTGCTGATGCCCTGCAAGTATTGAGCTAACAATCAGGTAATTCCATTTGCTTTTAGAATTTCCCGTGTTTATTTGACAAGCCTATTCTTGTTTTTAAATATTACATATTAAATTTAAGAATGTAATCATTGGGGATAAGCCTTTAGGTATTTGCATTATACATCTCGATAGTTATCTCTATAGTGCAGGGTAGTCGACAGGTCGACTTGACCGGCCACTCGGTGGCGAAAGCGATTTAAAATTTTTATGAGCCCTTTGGCCAGGCATATCTGAATCTACGCTGTTGTGATTGCCTTTGTCACTATTCCAGCCGAGCACCACGATTGCGGCACAATAAGCCAAATCGATTGATGGCAATTTCTGAATTGAACAATTGCCACTTGCGGCCTGTGTGTGTGGAGTGGGGTGAGAAGGAGGAGGAGGAGTCGAGAATCCTCGACTGGAGCAGGCTTCAGCGAAAGGATGCGTCCAGGCGTCGAAGGCCTCACTTAACTATGCCACCTCCGCCTCCAATCCAAGGTGGATTCGCGGAATGTTCCCCAGTGGTTGCGACATTTATTAACTGGCAAATACACTTGTCACGGCCACGCCCCCTTCGAGCACGCTTCGTTTAATAAATTGAGCGTTTTACGCAATTTATGCGCCTGATTTGACATTAATGTGGCCCAAACAGACTCGCCCACACATGCATAAATAACTGCGCACACATGTATGTTTATTTACATGTTGCCAACAGCCCCCCTCCCCTTTCCTCTCCTCTACTCTCCCCTCCTGTCCTGTTCAACCCCCCCTGGGCATCTTCATCTTCTTTTCAGCTTCTTTTTATTTATGACAACATCTGTCCCGGTAACTTGCTCCTCTCGCAAGGGCGTTAACGTGCATGCCACACACACTCCATTAATCATTTTAACAGCCCGCCAAAGGAGTCGCCTCCACGTGTGGCAACCGTGTTCGTCTAGTTTCCGTTCCGAAAACTTGGGCCATTAAAGCCGGGAGCCACTAAGCCGGTCTCCCATTAACCGGCGAAACGTAACTCACGGTTAGGAGTTACTTGCTTTTGCAATGCAATGGCTCTGACGTCCAACAAAAATGCATTAATATGCCCTTAAAAATAGTTTTATTTCCGGGAGCTTAGCACCAAAAGTTGTCTACTTTCCAAATCTCAGTGCCCCTAGAAATAGTTATTAAACGAGGCATGAGAGCAAAAGAAAAATCAGCGTCATTTTGGGAATGATTTGAATGAAGAACGCCATAAGAGTTGTATCCATTGGTATTTTGTTTAGAACCCTTAAGAATCTATCCTTCTGAACTTATAACTTGACCTAAATAAGCCTTATTTTAAATATATGTACTTCTTTAATTTAAAGTCTGACTCTCTATTTATTGAAAAGAACATTTTGTTATGGTTAGTTAATATTTTCGATTAAGCCCATTCCAATTAATGTCAATTGATGGTACCATTAAAAACTCGCATTCCAAAACCTAGAACCAAATTTCGGTAAATACACCAGAAAATCGAGTATGTATTTGGCCACCAAAAATAATTATATTTCCAAGAACTTGGAAAGCAAAGGATATACCCATGCCAAAACCCGAAGTGAGATTTTCAGTGAAATCCCAACTCCATCCTCATCCTCTTACCCGAATAGTTAGTGCCATTTTAGTAACGCCCCCCCTCCCCTCCCCTTCCCCACAGATGGGCCACAACAATTCCCAGTTGCCAGTCAAAGTGGAAGAGTTGAAAACTCTGAGACGCAGCAATAATTCACGTGTGCCAGCTAATAAATTAGATGGAATGCGGCCCGAGCGCATCAAAGGATAACTTTTGCGCTCCACTTAATGCCAGCCCCATCCCGCCCAGAAATCCCCCAACCCCCTGCCCATCCTGCCCATCCATCCCGCCAAACACGAAAAGCATTAACCTGGGCAAATAATCAGCAGTAAATATTTTATACGTGAAACTTTGACAAACGAAACTGGAAATTCCCGGGGCAGAGGCAACTATGTGTGGCATTTGGTAAGTTGCATGCCACAGTAATCTAGGAATAGCTCCTGACAAAGGACACGGGCTTTGCTGGTCATCCTGGCCATCCTACCAGATGATGATGCTGATGGCTTGGGCTTACGATAAGAAAGCAACAAATAGAAATGAATGTCAATGGCTAATCAAAATAAATGCCAGGGGAGGAAGACGTGGCCAGAAAGTGTGTGTGACAAATGTCGAGCTTAGGATGAAATGGAGGATACACCAAATTCAGAGGGGGGAAAGGAAAAAGGGGGGATTCATTTAGAGCTAGCTTGGCTGCCACAAATCCCTGCTCGTTTTGACCAGGCCATAAATTCATTTTGGCTCGCTGCACATGCAAATGTCCTGTCCGAATGTCCTAATGAGTCAAATGGAGTGGGTGCAGCAGTGGCAAAAACAGCACACAATGAGTCCTTAAAGATTAATTAATCTTTTGGTGCCACATGCGGCCGCCGTCGAGGATAACGCTGATGCGTGTGTGTGTTTGTGTGCGGCCTGACCATTGTCCTGCGTCCTTTCTGGTTTCGGTTTTAAGCTAATGACACAAAACGCCAAAAAGGATGCGAACCGAACGAACCCTCGAAGGGGTCACCTCGTTGTGCCATTGGAATGGGGGGGAGGGGGTGGAAGTGGCAGTGGCAGTGGAGAGCTCTCGGCCTGGTTGGGCTTATCTTTTGCTTTTGAAGAAATAATTAATGACCTCGTTTTTGCCACTGTGCCACCCGGAGCAGACACAACGGACCAGGGAGCCAGGCCATTAAAAATCGTTTATTTCGATTTGATTTAATCCAAAATAGATTGCCTGTCCCAGGTTTTTGCTCCCAGTTTCCAGTACCCAGTTGCCTGGTCAAACGGAGGATGCGGCCAATTTATGCACTCAATTTGCAGTGGGCCGGGTGGAGCTGCGCATTTATAAATTTCATTGGTTAATCCTTATTTTCGCATTAAGCGCGATGGCGAGTGCGAGTGCGAGGACCACCGCAACCGCTATGCAAATGTTGCATTGTCCTGTTGCACCAACATCCAGCTCCTGCCCCTTGCCCCCTTGCCCCCTTTTGGCAATTAAACTAATCGCACGCAGGGCTTAAAACGCGATTTGCGGCGTCGATTGCCAATTGCGGCATGGCGCAGCAGGGCTTGCCCTTTTAGCGATTTTGCGATTTGCCACAAAATTTATTTAAGCGACACAGCCCCAAAAACCCCAGCACCCCAGCACCCAAATCCCAATCCCAATCCCCGCTAGATGTCAGTTAAACTGTTTGCATTGCCTGTTTAGCGGTTATTGCGGCACGGCGCCTAATGCAAATGTTTAGTTACGGTTACGCGTGGCCAGACGGGCGGACCAAAGGACCACAGGACATCAGCACGAGGGGATTCATGGAGGGGGAAATAGGGATCGGGTCTGGAAATAGTGTCTGCAGAGGACTCACCTGGTTCCGATCTCCGCGTGCTGAAGCTGGTCAATATGTGGTGTTGGATCTGGACAATGTCGATGGCTGTTGCGTGAAAAGTTCGTTTGTAAACTCCGAAAGATTTGCGTTTTTGCTTTTTGTTTTTTTTCTCTTTTTTTAATAATTTTTTCTCTGATGCTGACACTGTCGTTGTTTCAATCGAACTGCCAGCCAGAACCAGTCGAACTATCGAGGCGCTATGAACACATTCTCAAAGCCCACTTGGATGGCCCAAAATAAAAAAAAAAAACAGAGTTCTTATCAATCCTGACAGGTGGCAAGCTGCTCCTCCAGTCAGTGTGGCCAATTCCCCGGTCGGTGTTTAGCAGCTCGAGCGGAATCCGTCAAGAGCGCGTCAATTTAATTTCGCACGTGGTCCTGGAAACGGGGATGGGTGCCCCAGCGGCATTCAGTGCCTGCCACGTGACGCAAGGACACTGGGATCGGTTGCAGCTTGTGGCTAATAGCGACCAAGAAAACGGCCACCCGATTTGATTTCTCGCAAATTTCATTAAGCCAGATAAATGGCCGGCGATTAACAAGCTGTCTTTGCCTAAGTCCTTCCCCTCGTCCTGTGGTATTTATGCAAAAATTCGTTATGGCTGCCAGAGGAGCGGAAACGGAAATCGCACGCACTTTGGTTTAAATACACTACAAAAGAGTCGCACTAATATGCAGGGAATCCTAAAATCCACAAAAGAAAATGGACTTTTATTAAATAAAAATAAATACTTTGCACATCTTAAAGAGGAACACAAACAGAAGCTCTACAAATATAAAATTATTTTTTAAGTTTCTATACGTAATCACTTAAATTTCTTGAACCATATAAATAACAAGGAAGTGCCAATAAAAGTGTCTAAAAGTATGCCTCGAAAAATAGACTCAAAATAAAATGTTGCATTCATTCAGACACCTTTATATTAGATTTTGTAAACCTAGTCATTTCCATGGATCCCCCTTTTGTTTCAATTAGAAACTTGTTTTGAAAACTCAAGAGCAGGGCATTCGCAATTCGATGATACCCTTTGGTTGGCCTTTGTTCCATTGTTGTGCTCGCTGTGACATGATAAATTGCTGGAAATTATTCCTCAACTGCTGCTGGCAACTTCAACCCCGACTTTGCATATAGCTCTTTTTATATCGCAGCGATATCTGCGGTATCTGTGAAATGGCATACTTAAAAGTTAATTGTAGCCAAGCGCAAACTTTTGGTGGAAGGGGGATTGGTGTGCCGACGAATTTGAAATTTATTCAAATTTGGAACAAACTGCGACATGTTGTAATTCTCTTAGCGATTGCGGCTGCTGGTTGCTCCTTGCCGGCTTGTTCCTTCCATTGTCCTTGTCAGTGGTGCTTATCAGGAGGGCCACGAACTTAAGATTTGTTGTACTGTTTTGTGTTGTTTGCCTGCCAATTTTTGTGACTCGAAGATTTATCGCAGCGAAAGTCAACTGAGACGAGAGGCCAAAACGCGAAATACGAAATGCGAAATGCGACAGCTGTGGGCGCCCGACTGGGCCTGGCAAATTGGTCATTAAGTGACACGCAGACAGGCCCCCCATCCTGCAGTCCTTGCAGAGGAGGTCCTTGCAGCAGGGGACATTTTAATTTGGTCTGTCAGCGGCAGACGGCCAACGGAAAACCGCAAAATGCAGGAGCTGCGAAACTGCAGCGCAGGCAGACAAAACTGATTTGCCAAATAGCGACACCTGACCTGGTCTAGACCTCCTCCATCGCCCATCCCCAAACCCATGGCCATTTGTGCGGTGGCTGTGACAGGACATGTTGTTGATTTCTAATTTCACGCTGCGTTGTGTGAAAATCAACACCGTCACATGGCGTTCACCTCCGGAAGGTCCAAAAAGGGCGAAGCCCGCAGAAAAACGCAGCTAATGAAGCCTGTGAAAATCGGGAGCGGGAAATGACTGTCGCCCAGAAAGGAGTTGCGGGGGTTTAGGGGGAGTGGAGGAGGGGAGCAGTGAAGGGGGAGTGCAGGACACCTGACCCACCACAACCACTTAACGCCAAACACTTAACACCAAACATCGATCCCAATCCGCATCCACTTCCGCGTCTGGCCGCAATCAATCCGATCCCATCTGTCCACGGCCTGCCGCAAACTACCGTTTCGTGGCCAAAACTAAGAGGCGGCGAAATTAGCGCGATTTCCGCCGCAACTTCTTGGCCCAAAGCAGCCGAAACAAGGCCAAACAATGCAAGGCAAACACAAAAGCAACCAAAATGGGGGATTGTATGGGTATAGAATCCTTTTGGCGTTGACAAAAAAGGTATCTTGAATGGTACGTACTATCAAAGATTATACAATACACAGATGGGACATGAGGATCGAAAATATTTTGTGTTTTGTTTTATGCTTCTTGATAGAGGTAAAAATAAAACTCATTATTTTGCCTGTACATCTTATTTTGTCGAAATTAGAGCGAAAAACCCTTATAAAATTTGTTCTTGTGTCTAAAAGGCCAAAAGAATAAACTCGAGTTTCGGTTTTTATTATCAAAACGAAAATGATGGTCAAATGAAAGAATTCGTTGAATTCGTTAAACAAATTCTAATCGATTGGCATTCACATCTGACAAATTTTAATTTAGACCAATTATCGCGATAAAATCATAATGTAACACTCCTTATAAATATGTGAAAGTCATCTGTTTTAAAACTTTCGTTTTGAACTTTGTGTTTATTTACTGCTTATTTTAAAAAGTTAACTCCAACATTTTTGAGAATGGCTTAAAAAAAAGTATTGAAAAAGTTGTTTTGCCAAATGATAGTAGCTAATTGATCTGTGCGGATTTGGTAACGTTGCTGCAATATATATATATACATATATATTGAAATAAATTGAATAACTTAAGTTCTATATTTCAATGATATAACATATTTAGCTGGTGTAAGAAATAAAACATATATATTGGATTGTTAAACTTTAGAAATATATTCCTCTCAGATTCATCAGGAACTTGGTTAAAACAATAATCCCCTTTTCCAGGCCAGGAGAACAACAATGGGAGCAAGTTTGTAAATCACCGAAATCCGCATCTTTAGCATCTTAACGGCCAATTTAGCACCAAGGAGGAAGGTGGGGGGGTGACAGGGGTGGGAAACAGGGAAGTGCGAGGCGACAACAAGGGGTGGATGGAGAAGGGGTGCGGGAGCCAGAAAAAGACAACAGCGAAATTAGACAAAAGCAGCAAAGGCAATAATAAAAGATAATAAAACAAACGTAAAGTCTGTGCAAATGGCAAGGACTCCTCGCGGGGGGGAAGAGGGGGAGGTTTCCTGGGGGCCGTGAAACTTCTTGGAGCTGCTGAGCTGGTCGAGCTAAATAAAAACACTTTTGGGAACAATAGACGACGAGATATAACACTCCCGTTCCCCAAGCCCCTTGGACTTTTTGCCGTGGGCGCCAACTTGTGCTCCTTCTGGGCGTTTGTCATTCTTTCGCCATTTAGCCAGCCCCTCGAGCTGTGGGTCTCCGCCTGCTCGGTCCTCCAACCGCTTCATTATCTCTCCACCCCCAACCCCCCCAACCCCCCCGACCCACTTGAGCTATCTTTCTGTTTAATTTCGCGTGCCGCAACGTGCAATTACACAAAAGGATACAGAGGGATACGGCAGGAGGGAAGGAGGAGTAAGAAGTAAGGATGAAGGTGCTCGGGGGCTACAGGTAGGTCTCCCGGGGAAGTGGCTCACCGTGATTCGGGTCATGACAGGGAAAGCCTTTGTTTGGCGAGGGGTAAGATCTGGGGGTCAGCACTCGAATTCCAGTACACCTGGCGTCATCTGTGGGCCATTTCTTGGCAGGACTCGCTTAGCAGAGACACGAACCGGGGGCCTGCCGTAGCTATAATGCTTTCAAGTTCCTCCGAAATGCGGAATCCTCATTCGAGTTCCATTACCAGCTTTGTTTGCGTGGGAAATGCACAGATCTCTGCTCGATTTCCCATTCACTTCCTGCCGTTACCCAATAAGTCCAATGGGGGTGGGGAAAACTCATTTCCTGTCGCCTTTCCGCTGAGGTTTTCCCGCATATGTTTGTTTGTTTTTCCCATTAATCTGGTTTTTGCTATTTTCCCCCTTCGCCACACAACGATCGCCGCTAGATCGTTTTGCATTTTTCGTTTCGCATTTCCGCCGCCGACGTTTCTCGGCCAACGGAAGCGGGCCAAAAATCGCACAATCACCAGCACCGTGGCCAAACTCAAATCGAAATCGACGTCCAAATGCGCCGGCAAAGCGTATCAAATGCCATGTTGACCGCATTTGGACAGGTTGCCATTGCCATCGCCCGATGGCCAAGTGCCAAGTGCCAAAAGCGATCGACGTGCGCATTCCGAAGCTCACAAAGCCCTACTCCCACTGCCCTCCAGTCACCCGAGATCCCCAATCGGCATTTTTCATTCAAGAGCCGCACTCGTGGCGCTATTTTTGATTCATTGAGCAATTGGCAATCACGTTCCCAAAAACTGAGGAGTGGAGAAGTGGAGAAGTGAAGGAGCAGCCATGGGCTATTAATTTCCGACACCGAATGGCTTTATGAACCCAGTATCTCTCGCCTAATGCTAATGCCCACTTCCTTCCGCTTCTGCTCTTTACGACCGACCCATCCGACTCAAGTGCATCTCGAGCAGCTGCGACAGATCTCCTCCCAGTTGCATGTTAAAAATATCCCAAATGAGTTTGGCATGTGCCGCGGCAGCTGGGAAAACTGGCGAGCAGGAAAACTGGGGAACAGGAGAACCGAAATCGGAACTGGAGGCGCCAGGAGGAGTTGCGGGTGAAAGTGGACACCCAGCTGGAGTTTCTCGCTCCTTGGAGAGATCTGGTGAGATCTCCTCAGGGCTGGCTGCTTTTCCCAGCTCCCAACTAGACTCTGAACTCTTTGGCCCGCCAGTTGGCCGTTGCTAATTTATGCCACGTCGCGGCTAATTAATTTCTGCTGGCCAGGCCATCAAAGCCCATGGCTGGGCAATCTCTGGGCAATCAGAAACTCTTGCGTTCCGTGCGCGGAATGGTCAATACTATATGGTGAAAGAGATGCGGGGCGAGGGACGAGGAGCACTGGCTTTTCATTGGAAATTTTTTGCGCGTTTCACAGTCGGCCCGTCGCCGTCTATACGAATTTACAAATATTATAGGCAATAATATAGGCAGCCATCGTTTAAGATTGTGTAACTGCACAACGAGCAACATTAATAAATGCAAAGGCATTCGGTTGTCGTCGCTTGCCGACCATTTTCAATGTTAACTTGGAGACAATTCTGTAAAAATGCAAATGCCAAATGCAAAGTGCACCCAACGCTAGAGAAGGCAGCCGCCTATTTCCATTTTCATTTTCATTTTCATTTTCATTTCTATTTCCACTGAAAGACGTTTCCTGGCACTCCGCCCTCGCCGAGAAGAGCTCCGGCATCCATGGACACGCAATTATGCATGCACCCACATGTGTTCCGATGCACATTGTGGGTGGAGATGCTATGTGGCTTCAAGGCGACAGTTCCATTATGCTGATGCCGAGATTGTAGACACTCTGGGGCCAGAAAAGCACTGGCTAGTTGGAAAACGGCACCCAAATACATATACAATTTGGAATAACTCACGAAACTAGTCTTCTACTAAATGATGATCTAATTCACATCTTTAAAAATATCTAATATAATTAAACTTATTAGATATGTTTACTCATTCTTTAATAAAGTAGAATTGGTTTTGTATGTTTACTATGAGCTTTATTGCACATGAATTGTTTTAAACATTGTTTTTAAACTAAAATACAAGATTGCAATTTTATCGTTTTCCCCTTTATTTTCAAAAACGGAATTCATTTGGAAAGCTAATTTACAAAATACAATTTAATACAATATATTTTACAATAACATTTTGACCCAAAATAAAAACGAAAGACAAGCATTTCTCGTATAATCATAGAACTTTTTATTGCTGTTTGCACACTGATAGCACTTAGGACATAGACATTTCTCCCTATCGATATAGTTATCCGTTAATTATCATTATTATAAGTAGTTGTATCTGTATCTTTACCATTACTGTTACAGTTAATTCGATTAAGCTCGGTAGCAGCTAGCCGGAAAATGCTCTCGTTTGATATTTGTTTTACTTGGTTAAGTGTACATACATACGTGTATAGTGTTTGGGGGATATGGGTGATGTTAACAATACGCGCGTCTATATGCGGTCTATATAGTAGCTGATATGTTGCCGATATTGCTTGGTTTCGTTCCATTCCTTTCCGTTTTCGTTAGGTTGGGTTCGCGGGTTCGATCGCCTTAATATTTACATTAAGTAGAAATTTGTTAATCATAATCGTGTTAATCATATACTTTGTGGGTGGGTGCCACATGCCTCATCTCTATGTACAAAACATTCTGCCGCATCGCCCGGGATTCCCCCACAACGGGAAGCCCGCGTCCTCATCTGTCCGCGCATTACAAACAAGTCAACATAACGATTCAATTAAATATTAGGACAAAAAAAATCGTAATAATAAGAATAAGATTAATAATATAAAAAATAATAATAGTTTCGGTTCCCTTCCGTTTTTCCTTTAAGCGGCCGTTTGTACAAAGTTCTTCCCTCCATCCGTTGTCGGTTCCGGTTCCGGTTCCGTTTCCTGTTCCGGTTCCGTTGATGCTTCGTCCTTGCTCCTCCGTCGCCACTCCTTAAGTATGTCCCCCCCCTCTCCCCCTTTCCCCTTCCCGTTCGCTCAGCCCTTGGGGCGCATGCCCAGACCCACGCCCATGCCGCCCAGCCCCGCGTTGCTCTCCTCGATGTAGACATTTCCGGGCTGAAGGGTCTTCAGGATCCGACGCTCGTGGTGCTTGCCGCGTTTCTCTGCAAGAAGATCGAAGAAGAGGAGACGGTTAAGTGGGGCAGGCCACAAGCGTGGCTGTCGAAAGCGGGTGACAGCCTTCATTTAAATTCCACCCGCACCCCCGATATCGTTTTCATTTGCATTTCAAATATATGGATTCCCATACCGCCTTCAATTGGATAATTTACGACCCCAGAAGCTAAGCTCTGGGTCACTTTTTAGCGAATCTAAGTAACAACTGCTTGGGGTCAATAAACCCCAATGGCAGATCACGTAACATTGTATTTATCCAAGTTATGATAACCTGAATAGCTTATAATAGCTTGGATAAATAAAACGCAACGTGATCTGCCACTAAAACTGCCTATAACTTTTCATATACATTAAAAAAAAAGCACATCAGTAAACTCAACTAAAAATGTAACCGAAATAAAAATTATCACATTTTATGCAAGTTAGATAGAGTATGCCCAAAAACATTATGAGATATACATCATTCGCATCGGTTTAAATTAATAATGTATCAAGAAAAAAATACTTCGGCAACCTTTCTTTAGACTTTTTGACTTCATTTTGGTTTTATTTTTAAATTAATAAAAAAAACTAGTTACTTTAAACTAGTTTAATGTCGTTAGCTCTGATAAATAAATAAAGGGGCTGTCGAAAAAAGTTTTTCTTCGAACACCGCAGGTCACTTATATTTTGTGCTAATGATCAAATCTTCCCAATTTATAGGGTAAAAGTGCTGAAGTAGAATGAAGAATGCTATGCAAATGGGTAGAATGAAAGCGAACTATTAGATAGTTCCTACGAGGAGTCGCCGACCGAGTCCCGCTGAGAGTCCCGCCTCCTGCCAGGCTCCTCGAGTGGCTGACCTCGGTCGGGGATCTGGGATGGAGGATCTGGAGTGCCTGGACACTTACCAGGCAGCAGCACGTGTTGCGGCTGGAAGATTCCCGACTGCGCCGCAGCTGCATGCGTCGCCGCTGCGGAGTTGGGCAGTCCCCGCAAGGCGTCCGCGTTGCCGATGAAGAAGGTGCCTCCGTCCAGGCTCTGCACCTCCGCCAGCTTGGCCATCAGCTTGGTCGACAGCTCCTCCACATCTGCAACAAAAAAAAAAACAAGAGATGAGATGAGTGGAAAACCCCTTTCAGATGCTCGATTCGGTAGCTCGCACTGCAAAACAAAGGGCCTTCGATCGATCTTAAATGTTTATTAGGTGGCACACAGGAAACCCCAATCCCAGCGAGTTGCGAATTGTAAACAAGAGGCGGCGGCGCCCCCTTCCCTTCCCCTGCCTCCCCTTTAGCCCCACCAATCCAGTGGCCAGTGGGCGGCATCGGCGAACGAGGCCAGCAACAGATAATTTATCATTTATTTATAAACTGAACACGAAAATTAAGTTCCATTGCCCAAGCGAGAAGAAGAAGAGAATCGGCCGCCCGTGGATGATGTGCGTCTTCTTTCCTTTGGTCCATCGTTCAACGCCTTTTATTATAAACAATCGGCCAGCGGCAGCGCGAACAATAAAATCTCTTGGAAATAGAAAAGAAAACAACGCCAGAGAAAAAAGCGAAGCGAGGCCAACACAATTTTCAAATTTGCGCAGTTCAATTGGATTCGAATTTGGTTTCCCCTTTCCCCTCACCCCTCTCCCTCCCCCTGTCCATTTCCATTTCCAATTTTTCCATTTCCCATTTTCATTTTGTGGCCACATGTGAGGCTCCCAAATGAGGTGTCTCTGTGCCTGTGTGCGTTTCGGTTCTGGGATTGTTTGGAGGAGCAATATCGCTGCCTTTGAGTTTTCCACGGAAAAGATTAGTGAACATAAACGGGCAGCGTGGAAAATCAAAGTCCAGGAAGCAAATGGGTGAGCTCTGCTCTGGGGCAAAACGAGAACGAGAAAGTTTTTATGAATTGCCGGACTCGCAAAGTGGGACAAAATCGATGAATGGCGGAGTGCCTGCCTTTCTTCAGCAGCCACCAACCGTCGATCTATTTATGGAAATGGTCTGGGTAGCGCGAAAAACATGGAGAAGGAAATGCAAATGTGCAACATTTTTTCTCCGCTCGAAAATTTATCGCCTTGCCCTGTGCCGCGGATTCCCTATTCAAGTTGAAGGAGTCCACAATGCAGCGCGTGCCAATGGGAAGGAGGACTCCCCAATTGTCAATGATGCGCTTGAACGGGAAGTGTTGCAGTTGCAGTTGCAGTGCGGTTGCTGTTGCTGTTGCTGTTGCACCTTCCCACTGGCAAGAGCAACAGTTTCCCGCAGCTGGTTCAATCATTTAGCCAAAGAATAGGGAATAGGGAACATGGAACAGGGAACAGGGCGTATCTGTATTTATAGATCCCTCGAGGCGGAAGCGACTGGAGTGGGGGGCAGCACCATTAGCGGGGAAACTCCGCTTCAAGTGCAGCCAGAATCTGCCCCTTTACCTCCGCATGTCACACTATTTTAAATCTGTCGATGATCACCGAATTCTGTTGTACCGAACTCCTCCCCGGGTCTTTCCCTTTCTTTCCCTTCCCTTCCCTTTATTTCCCTTTCCATCATTTCATTTCGTTTCGTTTCCTGCCTGCTGTGCGTGGAAAACATGTTTTTCCCGGGCTTGTGTGACATGATTTCGGAAATTCTCCACATGCCCGCGGAAATGTTTCGACAAACATCCGCTTGTCCTTGAGCGGAAGGGGGCGAACATTTTGAGTAGATGTTATTCCAGAAGAGACCTGAGATTTTTACCTGCCCGAGGAGATCCGCTTCCGGCTGCAAGTGCCTCTCGAACTGGAGAGAGTGGAGAGAGTTTCCCCAACCAACCCCGCCCATTTTTCTCGCCGCCTCAACTGCAGATCCATAAATTTTCCACGCTGGACACGCAGCGTGGGACGCGGTGTGTCGACACGCCCTGAATTATGATTACATGCGAAGGAACAACATCTCGGGTTGGATCAACAAGAAGCGCTATCAAAACACGGCATAAATCTCCACGTGGGCGGGGAGAGCTGTGGCTCCTCCAAACGCGATGATGGGGTCTTGCAACATGTGGTCCGCGTCTGTGCAGCAGAAACTCTTTTCGGGAGCAGCGCACTCCCCATCGGACAGTCAGTCACTCGTCCATTCCCGCTGCGATGTCTGACATGCTCCATTTGAGCGGTGATCCAAGGGCAACTGTACCATGTTTCGGTCAGGTCCTACATGGTCGAGAGGGAAGCCACAGTGCCTGCTAATTGTGCTCATGCCATTTGGCATGCAAACCGCGAGTCGCGACTCGCATGCGCCAAAAAACATTTGGACATATCGTTCTACTTTGGCGTAGGCGCAGGCGCAGACCAAGTCCAAGTCGAAAGGCAAGTCCAATTGCCAGTGGCTTGTTCGGAATTGAGTGTGAAGGGGTTTTGTTTCAAAACAAATGGTTTGTACTTTACTTTTAAAATACTACCAACATTTCTACCAGTTTTAAGCCGAGTTGGGGGCTTTGACTAACCTCCTAAGTACCCTTCCCCTGCCTACGCCACTGCCTAGTCCTCCGGCTCTTCGGCTCCTCTTTAATATGCCCCTTAGCCCAGCTGATCGTGCAACAATTCGCTGGAAATCTCCGCGAGAGATTCGACTGGCCCTGGTCGAATTGGCGGGCCTCCATACATCAAAGTGTCGTGTTCTGGGCCCGTCGTCTTATAAATATGTATGTGTGCTCGTTAAGCATGCCAAGCAGGCAGGCAGCCAGAAGGCAGGGAGATCTGCCTGGGATTTGGGACTGTCGGGCCCTTGGCCAAAACGACGCGCTCTGAATTAATAAGTAGGAGGAGGAGGGGGGATCGTATCGATCTGGCAGGTGAAATGTGCCCAGAGGAGCGTGTGAATGTGAAAAGCACTGGGACTAAACTAGGCTAGAACCATTTACTCACCCTGATCCAGGCGTCGCTCCATGCGGCGCCACTGGCGCATGTGGTGGATGAGGATGCAGGCGGCCACCGAGAAGAAGACCAGGCAGGTGAGCACGGCCACGTAGAGGACGCCGGTCTGCCAGTCCAGGACCCAGGCGGCGGCCGCCTCCTCGTGCAGCTGCTGCAGTTGCTCGTGGGTCAGATGCTGCAGTGGGGCATTGTGCTCGAAGTGCTCGTACTCCGAGGACTTTCGGCGCTGCGGAAAAAGTAAAGTCACTCCTAATCGGGCCCTTCCCTCTGAGCAAAGCAAACTCACCTCCTTCCAGTTGGGCTCGGTCTTGGCCAGCACGACCCAGTCGATCTTCAGGTCGTATATGGAGCCGCAGATGGTGTCCGTGTGCAGCTGGCAGGGCCGCAGCGGTATCATCTCGCCCTGGCAGCGGGTGCACGGGATGCAGCGATCGCGCTGCGAATCCCACCAGTGCTGCGGGGCGCAGGGCGAGCTGGAGGAGATGGTGGCCACCGGCTGGCTGGCCGGAGGAGGATCCGGCGGCGCAATGGCTGTGTCTGCGGAGGAGGTGGAGGTGGAGGAGCTGCTGGCCACCAGGGAGCAGGTGGCGGAGAGCAAGAGCAGGGCCAGGTAGCCGCCGGGACTGAGGCTGATGTGACTGCCGCTGATCTGGGCCTGTTGTCGCCTCCGTCGCCGCTTGTGAAACGTTGTGTTCGCCGGCGTTCTCGTTAAGTGGTGGCCACTGCTACTCCTACTCGTTGACGGGGTCGTTGCTGCTCCATGGCCATGGCCCGGCAGTCTTGGCGGCATCATCTGCGAAGAACAACAAGAGGAGGAACGATACTTTTATGGGCGACAACATTTGATGGGAACCAGCTGCACGGCTTTCCCATGGGAACTACTCCCACTTCGCGCTTATTGATATAGAAGGCACTTAGGAGCCAGCTGGAGACCAGAAGCCATCTTCTATAAAAATAATTCGCGCAACGGCAAACTAATAAACGGCCAACGGTCATAGTCATGCTAATACTGTCGCTGTCGCAGTCGCTGATAATGCGACGCCATCTCCCTCATCATCGCAATGATCGCAATGATGACGATCGTCGTCACGATCATCGGTCTCGGTCTCGGTCTGATGTGGTGCTGATGGTGATGGTGATCATAAATGCGTACAGTTTGCAATCAACTTTAATGATGGCGGGTGCTGGGGTAGTTCCCTTCTATAGACCACCGACCACCGACTACCGACTATGGACTACAGACAACCAACTACCGACTCCCGACTTGCAACAACTATCAACAACGGCGGCTTGGGTTCAATCCTCATCCTCTTCCTTTTCCTCCTCTGTTTGTTTATGTTGCCGTTCTGAGTTCTACGTTCTACGTTCTGAGTTCAGCTCCTCCCCGGATTCGATTCGATTCGTTTTGATTCCTTGGCGCATTAACGACAAACTATTATAGGCAGCGATTATTATTTATGCGGCAAACGCGATGGCCAAGCCAAGTGGAAAACAAGAAAGCCAGGGGCCACTTCCGTTCCACTGAGGAGAAAGAGTCTCCAAGAAGAAGAAGAAGAAGTGGTGTCCCGATCCCGAAAAACCAGAAGCCGCTTCGTGGTTTTTCCCTGGAAAATCTGGACTTTTCTCTGCCACAATAACAACCCATTCACCAACTCTGGATGGGATGGGATGGGATTGGATGGGGTGGGGTCGTGCACTTGTCATGCCCTGGGAAGCGGGGAAGCGGATGGGGGGGGAGGGAGGTAGAGCAGAGGGCCTCCACCATGGCCATGCCATAGAGCAAATGCAAACGCGAACGAGGGAAACAACAACAGGAAGAAGAAATATTTAATTAAAATCAACCATTATGGCCACCGTCACCATAACAGCGGGTGGGGTTAGGGTGGTGTAGGGGATACGATGGGGAGGGGGTGGAGAGTAGGAGGAAGACTTCCACTGGCTATGGGTGCGGGTTCAAGCTCGAGCGGATGGATTGAGTTACCAACCAGAAGGCAAATCGATCGGGTGAAATTGGAATTGGCGATCAATTGACAATTAAACATGTGGCGGGGGAGCTCATTAGCATGAGCGACAAGTGTGTTCCAGACGCTTTTTATTTTTATTTGTATTTCTATTTCTATTTGTATTTCTATTTGTATTTTCGTTTCAAATGAATTTCGTATCGGAAACTCCCTAGAAGGCACTTCCTCCCGCCTCACGTCATTAAAAACGCGTTTGTTTATGCTGATTAGATTTTATTTCCCTGCGATTTCTTCGACCAGAAACCTGTATAAACATAATGGTTCCGGTTGTGAGTCCACTGGTAAATAATGCTTTCTCCACAACCCAATGATCGTGATCGTGATTCTAAGAGTCGTCAGCCCCATCCAATCCCATTTCATTCCCCATAAATAGTGGACAGATCGTGCTCCGAATTGTTAACCGTTTTGGAATAGTTTCTCTGTGCGAATTCATAAGGAATATTTATTTCGAATTGCTCAACCGAATGTGGATCATGGCTGTGGCACCCAAAGCGATCACTGATCTCGGCGAGCCAAAGACGGGCAGCCAGTTTGAGTGACAGCGGAATGGCGGATGGTGGATCCCAGAGCAGCACACTCTTAGCCCATGTGTCTGACTTCTGGCCAAGACTGGAGGCGGCGGGAAAGGAGAGGAATGGAAAGGGGTAGTAGCAGCAGTGGATTATTATGTCAGCAACCGTGTTTCTATAAGATACATTCTGCGATCGCTTCTGTCTTCTGTCTGCCGTCTGGTGTCTGGTGTTTTTGTAGCTCGTGCTGCTGTTGTCGCCGCTGTCTGACAACTGACAGTGACAGCAATTTAAATCATGTTGCGTTTCTGCCTCTTATGCTGCACTAATTGAGGCTGAGGCGCCTGAGAAGGAGGAGGAGGTGCCTTTCTAAATGGGTCAGCTGAACGGCTCCAAGCCGATTGCTCGATTTCTGCTGGGCTCCAAAGACCCAGAAAGGTGGCAAATGGGATTGGAAGCAAAAAAAAAACACACACAACATCTGGGACAGCATTTTCGTGTCCACATTTCCAATGCAATTACCAAAGTGTCCCAGGGAACGGGCCCGAACGAGCGGAGTGGAGTGGAGGTGGTGTCCCTTCGCTTTTCTGGCGGCTGTCGCTGCCAAAGAAAATAAAGCACCAGCAGAGAGATTGGCGTATTTTTAACTCGCGACCTAAAATAAAATGCACATCAAACGAAACAAACTGCAGCCAAAGATGTGGCTGCAGTAAGTGAAGTCATGATCTTGGCGATGACTTTGGGTTCCTCTTTACTTATACAAAAATGGCAACTTCTATGGTTTGAACAAGAATTTGGATGAGTTTACCAAGGAGAGTTACCAAGAAAAGTTCGATTTTCCAATTAGGGGTTACCCTGTTGAAAACGATTTTCAAACAGCTAGAGTGAAACACTTAATAAATGATACAAATTATAATTCATTTCCTTGTGTTAAGAACTATTTTACTGCGTAGAGAATTAAGTCGGACATGTGTGAAAATAGGAAAGAGAATCAAATAATCAAAGTATTAAAGGTATAAAACATTACCTTATAAGAAAAGCAAAACATTAGCAAAAATAAAGTGAAGTTCTGCATACAGTATGGATAAACTATAAAACCGAATAAGAAAAATAATAAAACAGGCGAATACTAAATAAATAAATAAAATGGTCTGAGCAATAAAAATATTTATAATTACAACGAGGAGTTATAATTACAAAGCGGAGTTCAACATAAATTATGGATAAGGAATAATGAACGGTTAAAGTTATGTTAAAGGGATTAACCGGGATTTTAGATGAAATGGAGACGAAATGCTGGCTATACGATTGCCAAGTGGGGAATTCTCAAGCTCTGTGAGGAATTCCAGGCACTGCTTCTTCTCGCTCGCATCTTGACAGCCTCTCCCGCCCACTTGCTGCCCCAGCAATCCCAGCAATCGCCCCAAATGGAAGCTGATGAATGCGCCAGAGTGAGAGGCAGCGGCATTTATTAAACTGTCAGCTGAACGCTCACGAATTTTATGATTCTGAATCTGCTGTTGGACTTTTTTGTACGCTTTTTTCACTTTTTTCGCTTTTTTGTTTTTTTTGTTTTTTGTTTTCGTGTGCCCCGCTCTCTCTCTCTCTGTCGTTGTGTAAATTCCAAAACGCGACAAAACCATTAAGCACTTTTCATGGGGCAACGAGCAGGGAATTTAATGAAACAACAACGCTGACGATGAAGAAGAACAACAGCGGCTAGATGGGAACACAACCCGATCAAGCGGCATTTGGCATTTGGGCAGCCATTTAGTGGAATTGGAAGTGCCCAGAGGTTTGGCTTTTCAGTTAGCAGCCCCTCTCGCCTGAATTGTTGGCCGGTGAATTGGTGTTTACCCAAGTGTGCATTGAACAACAGCAACTGGAACAACAACAAGACATGCCCCAACTCTGCGAAGTGCAAATCATCTACCAATGCGAAAAAACCGGCAAATTCTATGGATGGGGAGGGGGGTGTGTGTAGAGAGTGTGGGTTAAGAAACTGGAAATATTGATCGATCGGAGCGGTGCCAGAGATGCGATCACCTCTGCGCACCAAGTACAGTACATCTGTAGCATCTGTAGCAATATATTTGTGTATCGGCAACTGCACATAACTTATTTTTACATTGGCAGGCGGCACAGACAACTCAGACTTTTTGGAATTTTGACATTTAGAGGGGAAACAAACAGAGCAGGCAACAATATCCCTCCGCTTCTGGCGTTATGTAAGCAACATTAGCCGCGGAGTTCTATGCATGTTTTTCCTATTTATTATTATTTTACAGGAGCTGCCAACAAGTGCGGATGCCGTCTCCGGTTTACCCTTTGCATCTTTTCCTTCCGCCGTCTGAATCTGTAGCTGTATCTGTATCTGTATCTGTACGAGCCTCGCTAAGTGTATCTGTATCTGCATCTGTAGCTGTATCTCTGTATCTCTGTATTGCAGATACTGAATTCATGTCGGAGTAGTAGCCCCCCAATGGCACAGCCAATCTGTATCTGTCCATCCATCTCGTCAGTTGTCCGCCCTGTATGGGGGTTCTGTGATTATGATTGTCTCTCTGATTCTGATTCTGTTTCTGTTTCGGATTTGGATTCGGATTCTGGTTTTTTGCTCCTGCTCTGTTTTTTTTTTCTTCTGTTTTTGCCTTATTTTTTTTTTTTTTTGCGCGGATCCAATTCCGATTTTCGCTTCATTTTTCCGTGTCTTTTTGTTTCTGTTGCCGCACACAGAGGGCTGCCTCTGTTTCTGCACTCGATTTATATGTTTTATCATTTGATTTAATTCAATTCCATTCCATTTCGGTGTGTCTGCGTCCGCATCCCCCCACATCCCGGCCCCCGTGGCCCCAAAGTCCGGAGATCATCGCCGCCGCTTCCGAAACAGAAACAGAAACTGAAGCATAACAGAGCGGAATGAAGATGAGCCGACGGGCATAACCATAAGCCATAAACCATAACACAACATAGCGTATATAGCATATATAGAATATAAGCATACATAGCATATATAGCATAACCAGCCGTGAGTGGATGGAGATAGGAGATCGGAGATCGGAGGGATCTCCGCATGCAAGTGGGCTTCACTTTGGCTGCGATCTGCCGGCGGACGGGCACAAATAATAAACCTGAGCCTGTGTCTGTGCTTTTGACTGTCACTGTGGCTGTGACTGTGACTGCCACTGTGGCTGTGCAATAAATAAATCACTCACTTTTTCGCTTCTTCACTCGTTTGTTGTTTGCGATCTGCGCGATCTGCGTCTGCTCTGCCTTTTGCTGCTGCCTTCTATTTATGCCTTTCAATTCGCGGCAGGCTTCATGTTTTCATGTTTGAAACGCGAGCACTCCCAATGATCTAATGATCCTCGCACTGCCACCGATAAAACAGATCGATCGTCGTGTCAATCAATTGCACAATTAGCACTTTTCTTTTCGTTTCGCACTTGGCCCCGCAACAGGAAAAAAAATCGTCGGAATTCGTTGAGATACACTACTGCACTTTGTGGCCGTCGCGAGTGCGAGCAGCGCCAGGAAAAATGGTTGGGCAAGTGGGAAATACGTTTTCCTCGGCTTTCCTCGGTTTTCTTTGGCGCTCGATCGCAGCGATGCGCAGCTATTCGCGGGCTGTGAGAGACTGAGGGCGGCCCACTGCGGCGCTGCCTCTATACGCGCTGCCTCAGCTCGGATCGGATCGACTCTCCTCTCTCGGGAAAACGACGATTCCGAATCGGAATCCGAATACCATTCCCACCCACGATCACTTTCTCCGTGGGCCTAAGAGTATGCCGTGCTTCGAGTGCTGTCACCAGATCGTTGCAGTCACAGTTTCAGGATACTTACTTACTTTTTCTTTGAAAACTACGCTTCTTTTTAAGTTCTTATTCGCATTTTTCACAAAGTTAATTTTTAACGCAAATATATCAGTATTTAATCCATTACAAGCCAAGATTTTGCATAATTTATAATTTTTCGCGGAAAATATCAGTATTAAGATCATAAATATGGAAATAATGGAATATTCTTACATTACAAAGATTGGCACTCGAACTTGAAAATAAATGTTCATTTATTTATTTACTTACAAATTGTAAGCTTGGTTATAAACTAAAGTTAAGAAAAAATAAAAAAGGACAATATTTTGAGAATTTTTTGACCAATTTAACTAGGTAAGACATTCCTTACGTTAACCATTTATTTAATAAACGGAATCAAGTGTTAGCGGCTTGAAATAAATATAAAAACTTAAATAAAATTTGTGGTTCATTTTAAGATCTGCTTACTTTTGTGCTGCGTTTTTAATGCCAGCAAACTTTTGCACTGGTAACCTTTAAATACTGATTGAGGATAAGCTTTAAAGTAGACAGTATTTTGTTATTCATTTCAAACCCAACTTAAACTTATGAGTTTAGTTGCATACTTTGGTGCTGCCACTGTGAGCACCATGCCAGGATCGGACGACATATTTGTATACCCTTGCAGACGGTATTATAATTTCAGTCAGTGTATATATTCTTGATCAGCTTCATTGTTAAATAATATTTAATATTTGGGGATTATGAACTTTAAAATGGCTTTGCAGAAAAGTGTCAAAAAACTGCAGTTTTAAGCTCATAACTTTTTCTACAGACCTCCCAATTCAAAGTGGCATACCTCAAAATGATCGTGGTTTAATTCCCTGAAAATCTGCGTTCCTACTTTTTTTTTTTTATTTTTGGGTCGATTTTTCGTAATTTTCAATGATGTAACCCCTTTCCAAATTTTCGAAAAATGCGTTTTCGGAAAAGTGCCAAAAAACTGCACTTCTAAGCTCATAACTTGTTCTAAGCTCATAACTTTTTCTACAGACCTCCCAATTCAAAGTGGCATACCTCAAAATGATCGTGGCTTAATTCCCTAAAAATCTTCGTTCATACTTTTTTTTTATTTTTGGGTCGATTTTTTGTCATTTTCAAGAACCCCTTTTCAAATTTTTGAAAATGGGTTTTCGGAAAAGTGCCAAAAAACTGCAGTTCTAAGCTCATAACTTTTTCTACAGACATCCCAATTCAAAGAGGCATACCTTAAAATGATCGTGGTTTAATTCCCTAAAAATCTGCGTTCCTACTTTTTTTTTTTTTTTTTTTGGGTCGATTTTTCGTAATTTTCAATGATGTAACCCCTTTCCAAATTCTCGAAAAATGGGTTTTCGGAAAAGTTCCAAAAAACTGCAGTTCTAAGCTCATAACTTTTTCTACAGACATCACAATTCAAAGTGGCATACCTCAAAATGATCGTGGTTTAATTCCCTAAAAATCTGCGTTCCTACTTTTTTTTTTTTTTTTGGGTCGATTTTTTGTCATTTTCAAGAACCCCTTTTCAAATTTTTGAAAATGGGTTTTCGGAAAAGTGCCAAAAAACTGCAGTTCTAAGCTCATAACTTTTTCTACAGACATCCCAATTCAAAGAGGCATACCTCAAAATGATCGTGGTTTAATTCCCTAAAAATCTGCGTTCCTACTTTTTTTTTTTTTTTTTGGGTCGATTTTTCGTAATTTTCAATGATGTAACCCCTTTCCAAATTCTCGAAAAATGGGTTTTCGGAAAAGTTCCAAAAAACTGTAGTTCTAAGCTCATAACTTTTTCTACAGACATCACAATTCAAAGTGGCATACCTCAAAATGATCGTGGTTTAATTCCCTAAAAATCTGCGTTCCTTTTTTTTTTTTTTTTTTGGGTCGATTTTTCGTAATTTTCAAGAACCCCTTTTCAAATTTTTGAAAATGGGTTTTCGGAAAAGTGCCAAAAAAACTGCTCATAACTTTTTCTACAGACATCCCAATTCAAAGAGGCATACCTCAAAATGATCGTGGTTTAATTCCCTAAAAATCTGCGTTCCTACTTTTTTTTTTTTTTTTTGGGTCGATTTTTCGTAATTTTCAATGATGTAACCCCTTTTCAAATTCTCGAAAAATGGGTTTTCGGAAAAGTTCCAAAAAACTGCAGTTCTAAGCTCATAACTTTTTCTACAGACATCACAATTCAAAGTGGCATACCTCAAAATGATCGTGGTTTAATTCCCTAAAAATCTGCGTTCCTACTTTTTTTTTTTTTGGGTCGATTTTTTGTCATTTTTAATGATGTAACCCCTTTCCAAATTTTCGAAAAATGGGTTTTCGGAAAAGTGCCAAAAAACTGCACTTCTAAGCTCATAACTTTTTCTACAGACAACCGATTTCAAAGTGGCATAACTCAAAATGATCGTGGTTTAAATCTCTCAAAAAATGTAAAAACAAAGTTAAATAAGGTTAAAAATGTTTTTATTCTGGTTGCGTGTATATCAATAAGTAAAATCATTGTAGTATCAACATATTTCAACTGTGTGTGGTGTTTTTGCAGGCGACACATGTTGTCACCCTTCCCCCCTTTTGCTTAACAGCTAAACATAAATAATTTAAGACTTAATCCACTAAGGCCACTTCCCTCGCGGCACTTTACAAAAACATCTCAAACTCTTTTTGCACAAAATATTACAAAAAATTTGACACACAAAAAAAATAAACAAAATACTTTTAGATAATTTCAATCAATCGACAAGAAACTCCAATAAAGGCAAATCAATGATCTAGCGATTGCCAAATAGTAGTAGTATAGTACAATTAATTTAGTTCGGTTTAGTACGAGGCAAACGAAGAACAACGAATGCTATAGAAATATCAGATTAACAACAAATTTTGGACTTCTTAAGCTTAACTGATTTACGTGTACATTTAGTTTCCCTCTTAGTATTACGGTTTAGAAAGCACTTGAATTTCGCTGTTCACGACAAAGGCAACATGGTGTTCGATTGGTGTTTCGATTCGTTTACACACAACTTCTCCCCGGCAATCTCCTCCAGCTGTTCTTGGACAAGTGAACCGATTCGTGACGATGACCAGTTTGGCTGTTTAACCGCTGCAATATAGAACGAATGGGATAAGTATAACCAAGTCTCGGAGGCGTTACGGGTGCTAGGTGAGTGGGTGCGGGTGGGTGAAAGTCTTGAGCTCTGGGGGAATAGGAAACCATCGACACATCGACACAACAGGCAAGCGAAACGGAAAGAGAAGGCTAGCTGTTCAATAAAGACAGAGACAGAGCGAGCGGGCGGGCGAAATACAGCGGAGATGATGGGGTGAAAAGTCAGTGGGTCATCGGTTCTTCTTACTTCGATCCCAATCCCGCCACAGTGGTTCCTTCTCTTTTTTCAGCCGGACAAGTCGCCTCAGTTCTTGTTACTCGTGTCACGCAGTTGTTGTTGTTGTTGTTGGGGGTTGTGGTGTTGGTGGTGATGTTGTTGTTGTTGTTGTTGTTGTTGGGGATTGTTGGTTAAGTGTCTACTTAAATGCAACTTGCAACATGCGTAGCACTTACTTTAGAAAGTCATTCATATTGATGTAATTTTTATAACTAAATAAAGAGAAATCACAAAAATGCATTCGGTTAAAAAGGAAAGGCAAACAAAACAAGAACAGAAACGAACAGAGCACATCGGTGGTAAGTGGTTATTTGCGAGTGCGGGTGGTGGATGGTGAATGGTAAAGGTTGGCAACACACGGGGTTAAGAGAGAAGCGCATTCAGATCGGAGTAGGATTGTTCATATTGAAGGCGAATGGACTGAACACACACAAAACATCATGTATAAAATATAATAAAAATAATTTCCATCCAGCGGGACATCGAATTTTGATCGAGAGGGGCTATCAACAATCCTACCGGCGGTCAGGGGCATGCAGTTTGTTAGTGGGTGAGCGTGGTCCGGGGAAGCGACCAGAACGACCAGGTGCCGTACCTCTTGGCGGACGTGGTGCGCGAATAGGGGTTCTGCAGGATCTTCGGGTGCGTCTCCATCACGCGCAGCAGCAGGTTGTCCAGGTAGTCCTCCAGCTCCTTAACGCGCTGTCGCTGCAGCAAAGCCTCGTTCTCCATTCCATTGGCAATTAGCATTAGTTCCTGGATGGGAAACACAAAAATATGAGTGCTTGGGACACAAAAGAAACATGAATGGGACACCCACCTCCCGGGACTTGCCCTCGTATTTCTTCGCCAGCTGGGCGGATATCTCCGAGCGGCGCTCCGCATGGGATCCCGACTTTTCGTGACCAATAATGATGCGCTCCGTGGACTTGGGACTGGGAGAGCTGCTCTCGTTGTCGTTGTTGTATTTGTCTTAGGGGGGAAAAAAAGGTTTATTAGTTAAGATACCAAGGAAAAGGCGCGCGGATGAGGGAGGAGCTGGGGTGGCTCAAGCTCCGATGCAAATTCACTGGCGGATGCAAAAACACAACGGAAACAACAGAAAACAGTCGGGGAAACAGACGGGAAACACAGACAGGTAAAGTAGGAAACGAGGGGAAATGAAGGTGCATGGAAAACGCTTCGGAGGAGGATGGCGCGACAGATGACAGCGTTGACTGGAAGTTAGCTTGGTTCGGTTTCGTGTGCGCTTCGCGATCCGCCAGCGTTTTGCCGCACTCCCTGCCCGCCGCCAGAATTTTTGTTTTGGAGAGGTCAGGAGTTTCACTGTGGCTGAGGTTGTGGTTGGTTCGGTTTCGGTTCGGTTCGGATCGGGTTCATCAGCTCACCTCGCTTGTTGCCGTATTTGAACTTGCCCAGTCGCTTCTCCCAGCGCTCCCCGCTCCCGCTCCCACTGCCGTTCGTCTGGAACTCCTTGGGCGACTGCTCGGGCGTAAGGAAGTTGTGCTCCGGCTCAGCCGTTTCCACCTCAGGCTCCTGCTTCGGCGCAAACTCCTGCTCGCCCATACGCTTCAGCTGCGGCTGCTCTGTGGCCGGCTCCTCTAGGGAAGTGGAGCGCTTGGCGAAGCTCAGAAGCCTTTGGTCCTCTTCCCAGCGCTTTGCCTCGCGTCGCTGCTGCTCGTCCAGCTGCAGCTGGTTTTGGCGCTCCTTCTCCTCAGCCAGTTCTCGCCGCATGGCCGCCTCTTCCTCGCGCAGACGCTCCTCATTCAGACGCAGTTCCGCCTCCAAACGGGCATCCTCTGCGGCGCGCTGCAGGCGCGCAGCCTCTTCGTTGGCCCTCTCCTCCTCTGCCCTCGGATCCGCCACAGAGCGAGGCTGTGGCTTGGGGCGTGCTGTGGGCGTGGGCGTCGGCGCCGGCTTCTCCAATTCCACGGTCAAATCCTCCAACTCAGGCTCATCTGCAAAGATGGCGGTGCTGTTGCGCTGCTCGTACTTGGCGAAGCTGGCGTTGAAGGTATCAAAGTTGCGGTGCTCCACATCGGGGGAGAAGAGCGAGGATGAGGTGGCCACTACTGAGTCAGTAGCAACGGATGGAACGGTTATAGAAGCAGGTACGGGTGCAGAAGCAGGCACGGGTACAGAAGCAAGCACGGGTACAGGTGGCGGCGCTGTGTGCGGTGGGTGCCCGTCCTCGTCATCGCTTTCCGAGCTGGAACTGGACGAGGAGCTGGACGAGGGCAATGGCGGCGGCTCCTCGACACTGGGGGGAAGTGGGACACGATCTTCCCAGCTGCGCCGCTTCAAGGAGTCAGTGCTACCGATCTCCAGGTACTTGCCACCACCATACAACTTTGACGCCCACTCGTCCTTGTCGCTTACCGACTCGGTTGGCTTCTCCTTTGGCTTCTCTCGCTCCAAGCTCCCAGAAACCTGCTGCTCATCCGCCAGCGGGATACGCGGCGGCTTCGAGGGAGGCGGCACAGTGCTGGTGCTGGCGCTTCCGCTTCCGCCTGCGCTAGCATTTGCGCTGGCATTGGCGCGGGCGTGGGCACGGACACTGAAATCGAGCTCAAGCTGTTCCATCTCCGCGTCGATGGGCGCATCCTCATCGAGCGTCGCTGGCAAAACCGCTGGCTTACCTTTCCCGCTGCCGCTTCCGATTCCGACTCCGTTTCCGGCGAGACCACCCACTCCGTTGCTCAGCAGGGGCGATGGGTGGCGCGGCGCAAAGTTGGGCGTACCGGATGGCGGCGGCTGGAGGCCGGTGCGTTGGATGTTGAGCGAGCTGCCCGAGCTCTTGTGCGAGAGGTTGTCGAACACAAATTCGTCCTCGTCTTCGTCCTCGCTGATTACGCCGGGATCGGCTTCGCCCGCCCTCTGGCCGCCTCGTCGTCGCCCACTGCCGCCGTTCTGGCCCCGGCCATTCGAGCTGTTGGGCGTGCCCAGGCTGGCGAAGGAGCCGCCGAAGGAGCTGCTGTCGTCGGCCCCCGCCTCCTGCTTCTTCTTGCTGCGGATGTGCAGCTTGGAGGTTATCGAACCTGCCAGCTTCTTGATGCTCCGCCGCTTCTCGCCATTGCCGATGGACAGCAGGCTGCCGCCCACGGAACTGGCCAGCTGGCCGATGGAAGACTTGTGCTTGTCCTTCTTGCTGAGGTCGGTCAGCGAGCCAGACTTCACCACGAAGGCGATGCGCACCTCCAGCTCGCCACGCTCCTTGTTCTTCTTCTCCTTGCCGGGCTTGCTCTCCAGCTTGAACCACTTGGCGCGTGGCCGGTCGTACACATCCATCTCGTTGAGGGGCAGCGAGGCCTGGCCCAGGAACTCATCGATGCCCAGATTATTCCGGTGCAGGCAGGTCAGAGTGAGCTCGGCGCGGTTGCCCTGGTCAGGAATTTTCCTGCGAGGAGAGGGTAATAATACAGTGGAAACACAATGTAAGGCACTCCAAGCTCTGGACTTACAGTTCGCACTCCTCGTTCCAGTTGACACTCGTCTCGGCCTTGTCCTTGACGGACGTCTGGTACTTCTCCTTGCCCAGGGCAATGGTGACGAAGCAGTTGTTGGTGCCATTCTTGCCCTTGGTGAGCAGTCCCCGCGCCCGCTGCACTGTAATTTGAGGGAAAGGGGACGGATTAGAGATTTGGATTGCCTTTGCAATGAGGTCCAGAATCTTAACTGGATGACAAAGGGTTTGACTCACAGCCAAGCGCATAAACAAACCATCTAAGGAAATGACTAACGAAGTCTGAAAATTATATCGTCTATTTTTCTGTATAAATGTTTACCAAGTCTAATGATTAATACTTTCCGAAATTTGTAAGAGTCTCACATTTTCAGCTTCAACTAAACAAGACAAAGGGAACCCAGCTTAAACAAAATGGTATGCGCAAAGTAAGAACTAAAAGTTTGGATCATCAAGTATTATTTGCCGCTAAAAAAAGAGAACCACAGGCCATGCATAAATGTATCTGGAGGAGTCGGCCGGCGGCAAACAATGCTGGGATTTCGGATTTGGGATGGGATGCGAATCGCGGTTGTGCGGTTGCGTGGTTGGCGTGTCGGTGGTGGCTTTCATATCTGCCGGATGCTCTGGTCGGGCTCGAGGTCACGAGGCGCTCGAGTGAAACTCGAAATTTGCTTTTGGGTCCGCTGGACGCGGCACCCGCGAATTTGGGAAGTGATTCACTCAACCGAGTGGCGACAATCACTGGCTTAGATTCGCTTTTTATTTGCCTTTAGCGTTTTGTATTTTCGCATAGACCTCGGCGCCGGCTCCGATTCCAGTTCGGTGCTGTTTTGACTGCACAACTGCCGGAAATGGGAATGTAATGAAGACGAAAACGTAAACGGCGGGGACAGAAATTAAGTCACTGCCAGAACAGAACGGAAGAGCTATCTATTTTTGGGCCGTCCCGGGAAGAGGTCATTCCACCGCCCAGATGTTCACCCCACATGTGGAAACCGAGGGGCAGAAGCTCCTCCCCGCCAGTTGCCACACATTTCGATTATTCAAATGTGACTGTGCACTTGCACGAAGTCTCTTTTCGCAATCGCAATCCCCTCCAGCGTTTCGTAATGCCAAAAAAATGAAGAAAAAAAAAGTGAGTTGTAGAGAAAAGAAGCAATTACCGGCCATAAACAATAAAACAAAAAGTAAAAAGTGGTGTCAACGAAAGGCGGTGAAAATCGACTAGATGAAAACCGGGGAAGCACAAAAACAATGGGCCTGGCCTGCAAATTTGTGCATCTTTTTCGTTTTCGTTTTCAGGTTCGGTTTCTGTACGAGTGCAAGTGCCACCCTTCCACTTGTCTTGTCTTTTTTCCTCTCCGGGGTGGGCGTCTCATAATTATTATCGCATTAACAGTTTTCCCGTCTTTCCATTTGCCTGCATGCCTGTAAGCCAATTTGCCAGTGCTGTATCTCGTCTGTCCCGTTTTACCTCTTTTTTACTGGCCCATAATTGAGGCTAAAGACAGAGAAAAGCCGGCGGCTAATATCGATAATCCAGCTGCTCCCAAAGATCAATGAGTGAGAGCTCACCGGCTCATCTTCTAATCGCTCTTGGCTTTTATTTCTCCGGCAAAACAAAATAGCTGCAGATGGATGGATCGTTGTGAAGATGGATGGCCACGAGTATGGCTGTCAATAACCGCCCGGCAATTTCGTGCAGCGGTTCAGCGGATGACGAGACATGCAAATCCGCCCAGAGATCGATGGACTCTTCCAATGCCCTGCCATTATTTTCCCCTCATAACGTGATGTTTACAAGTAAGTTTGTGCTTTTGCATGGAGGGGCGCCCCAAAATAGAAATGCCAAATGCTAAATGGCAAAAGTTACAAAAAAAAAACATGGCAAGCAGAGCCAAAAACAAAACCAAAACCAAAACCAAACGGCAATGGGTGAGGGAAGGGGGAGGGGGGAGGCGGGCAGCGGCTAGAGCGGCGATCCACCAACGGCGAAACCGTTAAGTTGGTCCGCTTTTATGGCCGCCTCTCGAAACTAATGACGCTGCCCCCACAGTGGACCAAAATGGCTTTATTTCGGGCACTTTTATACCTCGGAAACATTTTAGCAAACCCCTTCGATTTGAGAAGGTCGTTCATAATTTGATCCATATCAATTTGTTTTCATTCCACTGTGCCATAGTTGCGCATTTGATTTTTTCGCCTGGCGATGATCAGCATGTGAGCTTGGTGCCCCCGAGTGCTTCGATCTGGTAGAGGGGCGATAAAATCACTGCCAAAACAGAAGCCCAACACTTTTAACACTTTTTGCACTTTTCCCATTTCAATTTCGATTTAATCACGTGCAAGGGACGGCGTAATCGAGAGTTTTTCGGGGGTAAACAAAAAGGCGGGTGACTAGATGATTCAATGTCTGATTCAATTAACATCGCCAAACTCAAACGCAATTATCTATAACAACCGATAGAAACGCTATCTTTTGGGCCCAGGTAAGGATCGGCTGGATTGTATTACTCACGCGTTTTGAGCTCCAAAACTCCACAATGAGTCACCTGTCGTTCATTTTCTGCGCGTGGCCCAAATATGCCGCCGAAAATAACGGTCGGCTTCGATGCCAAAAAGAGAAATTTCTTAGTGCGATCGAACTGTTTTTGTCGACGGAATCATTCGATTCCCAGTTACCAGTCCAGATCCAGAAATAACCCTCAATACAAACTGGCACTAGAATGATTTAATCTTCCCCCACTTTTCCCCCTGGTTTACAGTCAATTATAGCTAAAAGCCTCCACAAATACACGGGGGAGCCGGGGGAATGAAGGGACAAACAAGCGACTGCACCTTTATTTTGTATTGTTTTATGCGACCCCAGACGGCAACAGTAGAATAAACATCTGCCGTCGCATATTGCCGACCTTTCTGACTTGTTTGTGTGTGTGTTTGAGGAGAGGTCAACTTTTGGGTTAATTAATTTCAATGAAATCATTTCTCGGTGTGCCTTTGCCTGTTTGTTTTATTTTCCGCCTGCTTTTCTGGTTTCTGTGCGCCAGTGCTGGATGCACCACAGGTGACCATTTCCCAAAGAGAAACTGGGAACTAGGGAAACTGGGGAATCCGGCAGAGGAGATCGCACAAGTCACGGAGATTATGCCCGGGCAATGATTGTGTGTGAGACTCAATTGGCGTGGCCAATCCCCGCCAGCCCTCGCTCGTGATACAGTGCAGCGATCATAAAAGAGCTAGCTTCTGGCTCTTGTTATTGCGATGCCGGGGAAACGTGAAATTCCCAGCACGCACTTTCATGTTCCACTTTTTCCTCTGCTCTCGCACTCTTTTCGGGGGCGGGGCGGGGGCGTGGCAGAGTGCCAGAGCGAAATAAACACACAAATGTTCTGTACGAAAAACAGACTGCGCCCGAGAGGCCAATGCTCCTTGGGACATGGGCATCCAACCACGCATGCTAATGAGCCACTTGCCAACCACTGTCGCGTTCCCATTTCTCCGAGACTTCTTTTAGAGGCTTGCTTTCTGGGATCAATTTCGGCCTGATCTCGTGGCTGCTTTCCCAACATAACATATGTACATGAATGTGTGTATACCTATTTACACGAAAAGCTGTCTCAATCGAAAGCCAGCGGGTTAAGGGTTACGGTTATGTCCAAGTCGGGGGTCAGCAGCACGTGCTACAAGCCACCCAACTGGGGCCACCACTTCATGGCCCGGCATTACAGCACATTTGCCGTTTGATGAAAAGCATTAGCAACAATTAATGTTGCAACTGCAACATCGGGCCATGTGTGCGGATCGTGCGAAAATGCGAAAAGGCGGCGATCAAAGTAAACGGTCTATCAATGGATCCACTATTCACTATATCCACTATATCCCACCATCCTACAGCGGATCATTTTATTGTTATGCATAAACAATTTCTTTCTTGCAAGCAATGAACCCACGAAGCCGTGCGATTTTGAAATGGAAATGGAAAACAGAAAACATAAAGCAGAGTTTTCCCAAATGAAAGGCAATTAGCATTTGTGGCGGAGCAGGGGGAGCGGGGAGAGCTTCTCCGTGGCTTCTGTTCATCGTAGCATGTTTTGAATATGAATGCAGATGGAGGGGGAGGAGGAGGGGGCTGAAAGAATCCGATTCCCAGCATGAATATTCAGGAGACGATGAGTGGAGGGGGTTTTGGGAAGCGCTGGAGGAATGTGGCCAGTGGCCATTTCAGCCAAGAGCTGGAACTGGAAAATAATCAATTGGAGACCCACGATGCGAAGAGAGTTTCAGACTGAGATCCAATCCAAAGCCAGACCTGTTTTCCCCCTCTTTTCCCCGCTCCCGCTCCCGATCCGATCCGATCCGCTTCGGTTCTATTCTGGCTAAATGGGTCGGGCAATGGAACGTAACTGTTTCGCATAAGTGCATCGACAGCGCCGCATTAAAACGGTTCCACATAGATGCGGGTATTACGAAGATGAGGCGGAAGAGGTGGGCATTATCTCAAGACGCCATCTCCCCGCTGACGTGACCAAAGTGCACCCTCTCCACCTCTTATCGCACAGATTTCATTATCGATCCAGTGGGAACAGTACGAAATACAGTAGATAGAGTCAATGGGTATATGTGTTTTTATCAATAACGATTTAGTTAACAAATAATATTATAAATATTAATAAAAATATATTTACAAAAGTATTACTATTATAAATAAATTCCTTTAAGACTGAGTCTTTCTGAACTTTCTACCTCCTAGACATGATTCCAAAATATTAATATGCAATTTCTATTCCACCTAAAGATATTCAATTGAAGAGCAATAATCATTATGAATTTATTAAATGCATAGGGTAACTATATTTCTTGCTTTTATTTTTCGAAGGTAGTTTAAACATTTTATAGGTTTAATGGACTGTCTTAAAATGTAAAGCCCTCAAAATGTGCTTGTCTTCCAGCATGTCTGTCCAAATGACTCTGATAAGATTACGTTCTTTAGCCACAAGTTTAAACGCTAAATGAAAATATATTGACTTGCTTATCGTATCGATTTCGGATGTCTTAAGAAGGAGAAGAAGAAACCTTTACTGAATTCTCTAAACTGGTATTTAGGTGCTGCCACCTTTCTTTATCGACAAACAAAAGGGCGGAGTGGTCCGCTCTGATTTTTACTGCAACCGCATTTTAATGCGTTGCAAAAGAGAACAAAATATAAAACCAAAACCAAAACCGAAATGGAAATGAAAAGGAAAATTAGCCGTTTGTTTGTTTGGGTCTGCTTGGCTGCCCGCTGCGCATTGCACAATTTCCCGCTGCGGAATTTTCATTTTCAGGTGTGTCCGTAGGTGTGCGAGTGAGTGAGTGGCCGCCAAGAATTTACGGCTAAAAATAAGGCACGCAATTGGCCAACTTTGGGGTGGAGTCGCAGTCGATAAGGAACTTTCCCGAGCAAAATGGTTCCAAAACAGTAAGCCACAAATAGGAGGGTAAAAAGCCAGGTGGTTTGTGGGTGATCTAACACTAGTAACAGAAAAGGAAAAGGCAAGGGGAACATAAAAACCTCTAAGAATTGCACACAGAAAAAAGGAGTTTAATACTAATTGTCGATGCGCTGCATTTTTGTAAAGCGTAATTCTGATATAGTAAATAATTACTATAAATAGAAAAATAACAAATTATTTTTTTTTCATTTTTATTTGCTCTAAACTTTTGATTTTCCTATGGATTTTATTTTTATCCGTAATCCATAGTACTTAAATATAAGCAAATTCAAAGAATCAAAAACAAACATTTTAAACAAGAAAGGTATTTTTTATACTACCTGCAATAGAAAGACAACTTTTGGAAAAGTTTCAAGCAGATAGCTTTAAAACTGAGGGACTAGTTTGCGTTAAAACGGACGGACATGGCTAGATCGACTCCCCTTTTGATGCTGATCCATAATATGTATACTTATTAGGGTCGGAAATGTATCCTTCACAACGTTGCAAATTTTTGACTGAAATTATAATACCCTCTGGAGTAAAATAGGCTAGAGCTTAGAGAAGTCCTAGTTCCAAACCCACTACTGCGGAAATAATTTAAATTTTGTTTGGTAGACATACATATATGTTATATGACTGAATAGGAAAATTTAAAAGATTTTGGTGCACAATAAAATTTTACATTTTTTGAGAGCAATAGCTTTATTTTTATATCAAATTGAATTATTTAGAATAATATTTTTTTAATATTTATACATAGCCAAATGAAATTCGTGTAAATTGAAAAATCTTCAAATTCTCTCTGTGTGGGAACACCGTAACATTCCAAAGGAGGGGGAACAGAGAACACCTGAGAACAGCAGCGATAACAGCTGTTTCCGAAGCGTGCGCTCACTTCATTCCATATTCTCATTAAGAAATTGGCAAATATTGACAAAAAAGCAAACAAGGCGAATTTCGGAGAGACACTGCGATGATTTGTTTGCTCATTCCCCATGACGTAAACACTCTAGCTATGGCTTTTAATCGTCGGAATAAAACATTGTGCGCTGTGCAAATATGCAAAATAAATGACAAGTGAAATAAAGAACGTACGAGCTGATAGCGGGGCAAGTTCAAGGTGGATCGGGGCAATCTATCTATCTTTAAAGCCCCAGTGTTTGTCTTCTTGATTTGTGTACGTTTCACGCAGCTTTGGATTCACAAAATGTGACTCATTTACTTTATCCATTTAAACTACTCACACACAGCGACTTGCTTACAGTCGAACTTCTTTAAATTGAACCGAAACATACCCAAAAAAAGAATACAAATACATTGACTTGTAGAAAATGCCATTAAGGAAAGTTTGGCTGTTATTATTCGATATTTGTTTTCATAATTGCCATTGGCAGAGCCCAAGTGGGAACAGCAGAATCAGCGCGCTTTGTGTTTTGTCACGAATTGGAATTCGCGATTTCTCATTGACATTCAGCCCTGAAGAAAACGAAAACAATGGCAAAACAAGAGGCCCCAAAACAAGCGCCACCATGGGCGTGTGTGCAAGAATGCGATGGAGAGGTAAGAAGACAGGGGTGCAAATGGAAGGGGACTAAGCATAGGCAAAAACCATTTTCTAGCGATGAGTAAGAATGTTCAAGCAGGGGAATTATCTTATCAGGCAGAACAGGCAAAAGTCTGATAAAAAATCGCTGAAATCAGGAAAACACAGAGAGCATAACTAGAGAGAGAGAGAGAGTGCGCGGGGGAGAAAGTGAAATTTCAAATTGCTATAGCTGCGAATACAACAACCATTCTGTCATGACAATATTTGAAGCACACACTAATGCAGTCGTGCACACACACGGACACGACAAACGAGTTTAAGTTTTAATGCGATTTATTTGCCGTAAAAAATAAAAACGGGTGTCCCCTGTTTTCCATTTCTCGCCCCCACTCACCCGTTACACTGCAGTGCGTCGGACTCCACATGGCACCCTGTATCCCGTTGATCAAGTCTCTCGATCCTTTTAACACGCTGCGAAGGTCCTGCCTCTTGCTTTCTCGCTGGTGTCTGCTTGTCCTTCGGAATTTGTTGTTGTCAGGGTGTTATTCTAACTACGTTTTTCTTGTTGACACACCGCGCACACTGTGTTCCCTTTGTTGTTAATCACGCGCGACACGAAACTACAGAATATAAAATGCCAGGAGTGTTAAAAAAAAAAAGGGAGAGACGCGACGCGTGCTGTTGTTGTTCAAAGTGGCCGCTAGAGTGACCGCTTATGAAAAGCAGAAATATGCCTAGAGTAGCGGGGCTGCGAAAATACCTAGGCAAAATGGCGAGAGGTGGGGAATTCGGGCTCCCACCGCCTGGCCACACTCGAACCATACAGCTGTGGCGTCCCGATCAAAAACTTAACGCTTTTCCTACATTTTCATTAAGCGCCATTTTAGACCAATTTTAACATGGAGCCAATGACGCTGGGCAGCCCGGTCAACAGCCCCGGCTCGAACCAGAGCCAATACCTGCCGCCGTTCCTCCTGGGCGATCCCCAAAACCTGACGCCGCACAAGAACACGCTGTCGCCGAAGCCCGGGCGCTACAATGTCAGCTTTGGTGAGTCCGCAGGCTAGTCTGGTTCCGCCAGAGACCATATTCAAGTGTCCGTGCCACCCCCAGCTACATCTCCGGGCGGCAGCAGCTCCCACGAGTTCAACCGATCCGCCATGAACACCCGCACTCTGTTTGGCGCCCAAGGAGGCGTCCACAATGTTTCCCAGCCCGCAGTCGGCGGCAGTGCCACCCCCAGCCACAGCCACGCCCACTCGCTGAGCCACCACCAGGCGGGACCGCCCACCCAAGGACTCTTCGACTCGCTGCGAGAACAGCCCACCACACCGCAGCAGCGCAGCCATCAGCTCAGCATGCTGCAGCTGCAGTCGCCGTATCAGAGCTATCAGTCCAACGATTCCTTTGCGCCCGGGGCACCCAATGCCATCAATGCCTCCATGCGGGCATTGTGCTCCCCACTGGGGGCTACCGCCTCGCCAGGTGTTTCGATAGCGGGATCGAAGGCAATAGCAGCAGCAGCAGCAGCGGGCAACTCCCGCATGGCCGACTTCTGGGTGACCATCTTTGGGTTCTCGCCCGGGGCCAGCTCCATGGTGCTGCAGCACTTCACCCTCTGCGGCACCATTGTGGACGTGGTGCATGCCCCGCAGAACGGGAACTGGATGCATGTGCGCTTCTCCTCGCGCATCGAGAGCGACAAGGCGCTGAACTACAACCACAAGGTGATCGCTGGCAATGTGATGGTGGGCGTGGCGCGCTGCTCGGACCGCTCGGTGATCGACAAGGAGAACAGCAGCGGGCTGGCCAATGCGGAGCCGCCGTCAACTCCCGCAGCCAGCCCCGTCCTCGTCCGTCCGTTCGCCCAGCAGGCGTACAAGCAGGCCCGCGACGTAAACATCATCTCGCCCACAAAGGATGTGCCCCAGAAGAGTTCCGGGCTGATGGACAAGGCCATGGACCTCATTTTCGGCTGGTGAGGCGGGAAGGAAGGCATGAAGGCGGCTGGCTTTTCCGGCTACTTATTTAATAATCACTGCGTACATCCAGCATACATACATACATACTTATTAAAAGAGATACAATAGCAATAGCATTAGCAAAAGGAGTCAAAGGGCGGTCATCGATCCCGCTGCAGCTGCCCCTTCCTTTACTTGGGCTCCAGGTGCGCCGTCTCCAGGTTCTTCATCTTGGGATAGCTGATAGAGCGGCTGTCCAGCTTGGACTGGGCCCACAAGATCAGCTTGAGCAGGAACATCATCTTGGGCGTGGAGTCCTCGCTGTGCTCGCAGCGCAGGATGGCCGAGTTCAGCTCGCTGGCGATCTTCTGGCGGTACGACTGCTCCAGCAGGTCGGCGAACGGGCTCTCCTGAGGCTTCTCGAAGGCGAGCAGGGCCAGCGTGCGCTCCAGCTCGAACATGGCATCCTCGCCGGACTCGGACAGCTTGCTCTGGGCGAAGGCCAGGGCCTCCTCCACCTTGCCGGCCCGGATCAGCTCGATGAGCTGCAGCTGCTGAAGGTGGAAGAACAAATAGCGATCGCTGCCGAGCAGCTCCGGGTGCAACTGGTTGACCAGCTGGGTGGCCTCCTCGATGCGTCCAGCCTGGACGGCCTCGCGGATGAGGATGCGCTCGTCCAGGCTGCTTAGCTCCACGCTGGGCTCCAGATCAGCCTCGTGCTGGAACTTCTCGGCGGCCTCCTTGAAGCCCTCTGTGTTGGAGAGGCGGGGAATCCCCGGGATTAGTTGGCTACGCCGACACTGGACACTGGATGGGGCGCTTACCTGTGACCAAGTAGTTCATGATCAGGCGGTTCATGTCCGCCTGCTTGAACGGAAACTGCTCCAGGCGCTGCAGCCACTCCTCCTTGGTGATGGCCTCCGATTTCTCGTTGTAGCTCATTTTCTTGCTCTTGCGTATTTTGCCAATCTTGAGGCCGTTTCTCGAACCGATCTGCGTCGAACTGTTGATTCCAAATCCCAATTACCCCTTTTTTCCCACGCTGTTTATTGTTTACTAATTTTGCTGCACAAATGACGCTGGAAATTTTCTTTTCTTTCTATGCTTTTCTCTTGTCAGTGTGACCAGACGGCATTTACCATTTTGGTAGTGCACTTATGCGATGATTTTCGGAGTACCTATCGCTTGCCTTCAATTTATGCGATGATTTTCGGAGTGCGCGAAATTTAAATCCAATTATTCGGATTTATTTAAAATTTATTCCGAGGCAACACCTTTGACAGAAAATATATGACTTAGTAAACAATAATATACCACTTTTGGAAATCACAATGTTCTCTGAACTTTTAATTAAAGTGCTTAATTGTGAAAAGAATAAAAAAAATTTAATTTTTTCGAAGTATTTGCCTCTTAATTTAAAAAAAAAAACAAAAAAATCATCACTTTAGGACCAACTAAAGTTGATTTGTAATCCTAGTAGCTTTAGCAGACGCGGATTCGAGAAAATACCATTAATTGCTTTATTTATTTAAATATCCCTTATCACACCAATCCCCAAAAGCAAAATAACTTAAGAAAAAATATTTGGTCGATTTTGTATTTTGCGGATAATGGCACTGGAGAAACCAGACCTTAATGATTTATTAATTAATTTCTTTATTGCAGAATATTTTTCTTTTCTATTTTAAGTCGGAACCCTTAATTATTATGGTTACGAACGAATACAATTTTGGTTCGGCCAGGACTAACCAACTAACCAACATAATCCCAGGAGCCGGATGAAGACAGCTACCACCTGCCGCTGGCGAAGTGGTCCTCAGTTCTTGCGGTTGCCCCGTCGCCGCATGGAGGCGGTGCACTTGGGGCAGTACCACTTGCCCTTGGGCGGCTGCGTGATGCCCACACAGGGGTAGTGGAACCACTCGTAGGGGCAGGCGTCGTTGTCGCAGGCCACCATGTCGCCGTAGCTCACCTGGTTGCACGTGCAGTAGCGGGGCTCGTTGGGATCGTACGACCATTCGCCCTCGTTCGTCTGCTCCACCACGAGTCCGTTCTCGCCGATGGTCAGGCTGGAGCCGGGCGTCATCGTGGTGGTGGTGGGCAGGCTCATGGCAGCCACGCCGCCTGCAACGCTGCCTGCAGCACTCGCCGTCAAGCTGCCTCCTCCTCCTCCGCCGCCGGCCATGGCCAGCGAGCCGTGAGTCAGTCCACCAGCCGAAAGATTCGTTGAGGCCGCCGCCGCCACCGCCACCATGGAGAGCATGTCCCTCGACTCCACGCTCATCGACGAGGATACCGAGCCAATCGAGTTGCCGGACGAGGAGCCGGCCAGCGGCTGGACCGCCAGCGAAGAGGGCAGCGCCAAGGCAGTGGTCAGCTTCTTCTTCTGCTTCTTCTCCTGGTGGTGGCTGCTGTGCCCGCCGCTGTGGCCGCTGCTGCTGTGGTGGTGCCCGTGCCCGTGGCCATGCCCATGCCCATGGCCATGCCCGTGTCCATGGCTGCTGTGGTGCGACTGGGAGTGATGCGATCCGCTGTTGCCTCCGCTGGCGCCGCCGGTGGCCAGTGCAGTGCCGGCAGTCGCTGTCACCGATCCGCCCGTCGACTGCTGCAGACCGCCCTGGCCCGCCTGCGACCAGAACTCCGCCGTGGTCCCTGCCGTTCCGTGGATGGCCTCGTAGCTGGCCTTGAGACTGGCCGTCCGCCGACCCTGCTGCATCTGCTGCGTGGCCACGATCGCCTGGCTGGCCGCCGCCGCAATGGCACTGGAGGCGGCTGCTCCTCCGCCTAGCTGCTGCAGGTTGTAGGTGACTGTGGCCCCGCCGGCCGAGTGGCCGCTGTGGCCGGTGGTTGCTGTGACCACCGGTGTGGAGGTTCCTCCCGCTGCCACTGCCGTAGCTGCTCCGCCTGTGCTGCTCAGCACGCTGTGCGCCAGGTTCGTGGGCAGTTGGCGCACCAGTGAGCTCGTTCCGGCGGTCAGGGTGTTGTTGGCCAGGTTGCTACTGCCGCCGGTCACGCCCACGCCCACACTTACGCCCACGGTGACGGGCAGGGTGAGATGCGTGGCGGCGATGCTGCCGATGTGATTGGAGGCCTGCGATTGGGCGGATGTGACGCTGGCCAGGCCGGCGGAAGCTACGGACGCTGTGGCGGGCGAGGAGGAGGCCGCCGAGGGAGCCGTCGAGCCGGAACCGACCACGGGCAGCGAGTGGTTGAGGTTGGCGCGCTTCTCCTGGACGGGCACGGTGCAGATGGTCTCGCGACGCTTCTCTAGTTTGCGGTGTCGCTGGCTGGAGCTGAGCTGGGCCGTGGCGATGCTGGAGAGGGCGCCGCCAGAGCCGGCGGCTCCGCTGAACAGGGCAAGGTCCGAGGAGCCCGTGTCGGCTCCGGAGGCACTGTGGGCCGCAGAGCTGTTCACCAGACTATTGGCCGAACTGGCGCCGAAGTATCGGTTCTCCTTCTGGTTCATGCTCAGCAGCAGGGCGGTGGCGGCCGTCGAGTTGCCATCCAGCTCCAGAGAGCGGCGCTCGAGGATTTCGGTGATGCCGTTGTTGTCCGCCTCCAGCTCGCACTTGAACTTGAAGAGCTCGCTGTCCAGGCGGCGCAGGTAGCGCTCGACCAGCTCGTGGATTTGCGTGGCGATGGCCACCTTCTCGTCGGCGTCCTCCATCACCTTGAAGTACTCGCCGCGCAGGCTGTGGAATTCCGTGTCCATGGACTCGTGCTGCAGCTCGTCGCGCTTGCACTGCTTAAAGAACAGGTGGGTCTTCTTGTCCAGGGAGTCCATGTTGTCTGGCGGACGGAGTGGAATGGTAAATGGGAGATGGTCAGGGGATAAACCCCGAATTCCTGATTGTTTTGGACCACTCACTCTGAACTGCGAGATCCAGTTCGCGCATCTCCGTGAAGCGGTCGCGCAGCTCCTGCGGCAGGTGCTCTATCATCTCCAGGTAGTCCTCCAGGTAAAGCATGTTGGCAATGTGTACTGGCCCGCTTTAATTGCGGAAAGTTTAAAATATTTGCAAAAAATTTAATAAATGCGAAAATGAGTCTTTTTTTGTCTGGTGTTGGTAAACGTAAAAAATAGTGTGACCACGTATTGGAGGTTTGAAAATCCATCCTGCTTTCCAAAGTACCGTGATGTAAAATTCGTTACAATGCTGTTCAAAAAACAATAATAGGTAATACACAAAATATTAAAACATTTCACCAAGGAACACTAATTCAGAATAAAACACTACTATGTAAGTGGTACAAAGCAAAACCTTTCTATAAGCAAATATATAACATTTAAATAATTAAGAAAGACAAATTCAGGAGAAACATATATATGGACACACTAAGACATAAATTAAATTCGATATTATATTAATAAAATCGATATAAAAAATATACTTATAGCTTTACAAAACCCAAACAAGTAAATCACAAATAATAAAGCAATCATAAAAATAAAAAAATGTTCTTAAACATTCTTAATGTTAAACATTTTCTGAGTCTGAGTCGGAAAATTACTGATATATAATATTTCGATAGAAAAATAAAAGTCTACTTTTTATAATTATCTAATAAATCTTATTCTAAATACAATTTTCAGACAGAAACGAAAACGAGAGAAAATTTTGACAACCCGAAGTTTTAATACCCTTACAGACATACTGAAAATTGATAACAACGTGCACTGCGCGAAAATACATATGTCAGCTATAGCTGATAGTCAACTGAAGCGCTAAATCTAAAATGATTTAAAACCATCATATTGGGAAAAAAACAGCAAGATTTACCCAAAATTCTACGAAAAAAACCGAGTGTTATCCAAATGTCATTTATAAAAACATTATTTAAGTCCAAAATAGCGAGAAATAAGATATAGACACCCCGATTTGCGCTGTTATCAAACTTTATTTAAGTACTCATATGAAAATACGATTGCGAAAGTTTCAAGTCTCTAGGTTTTTAACTGAGCCCCCAAATGTTATAGAAACAGACGGAAATGGCTTTATCAACCTATCAGTGATGCTGATCCAGAATATATATACTTTAATGGTCGGAAATGTCTCCTTCACTGCGTTGCAAACTTATGTGACCCATAATATGTTACAATGCCCTCCTCTGCAAGGGTTAAAAAACACAACCGATGCATCTGGTTGTTCAACTTTATCATTTTATTTCACTTTTTGCCTGGCAAATGCGATTTGCCCGTTTTTGGGTCTGGGATCGTGGATTTCGGGGGACACATACACATCCACCCACTTTTCTGACCACACGTCATATACTACATAAATGTAAAAAGCTTAGCTTAAACTTAACGAAAGTAATTAGAATTTAGAGTTTAGAGTCGGTCCATACGGCTAGATTAACTTATTCGAATGCGAGGGGCGCGGGGAATGATCCAAACGAAGTCTGAACGCAACGGCGCGGAGCGGAACTGAAACAAGTCAAGCTGCTAAATGCATCCAGTTTGCTAGCTAGCGGAAGGGGCCTCCTGCTATCTTCTATCTGCAGGTGGAACGGGAACGGGAACGGGGAACGGGGAACTAGGAGTGGTCGTGCCCGCGAGCAAGCCACAGCAATACTAAACGTAATCATAATACACAGACATCGTAAGATGCTAATCCCTAGTCACACAGCTACGTACAACACAACACAGTCGATTCCTCCCCATCCCACCATCCCGCCTCCGACTACTACTACTATATGGACATCTCGGGCATCTTGTTGTGCTTGAGGTTGATCTGCACGCTCTGCGAGAACATCTTGATGATGCCGTAGTGCTCGTTGGCGTACACCTTCAGGAAACTGGGCACGTTCTTGTGGAGCAGCTCGTGGCAGAATTGGGGGTACTTCTGGTACGCCGGCTGCTTGTCATCCCAAATGGCCAGTAGGTCGCAATCATCGCTGCAATGTAAAGGCAGAAGTGGACATTAATTGGATGAAAATTATCTGACAAGCACTGGCCAAACATGGATGCTACTTGGCCACTTCGAGTGCCCATCTCGAGGGCTTCGTCTGGATCTACTCACCGCACTTCGTTGGTGCACTCGTCCAGCGATATGATCAAGTACTGGATCTTCAGCTGGGCGCACTGGTTGTAGATGTCTGACGATTGCTGGCGACTGTAGACCGAGTACACGTGCTCCGTGCGGTCCCTGAAAAGGCGGAAGAGTCCGTAAGTGAATGGACATGGACGCCAAAGAGAGCGGGACAGCGGGAGGGGCTGGCCGATAAGCTATCTCGTTCTTATCAGGTCTACTCACGCCATTTGACGCATCTCCAGGTGCGCATGATTGACTATGGGTCGCTTGGTGGTCAGGTGCACGGTGCCGATGATCTCCACGGGGCCGGCAAAGACCGCATCCCGCTCCGTATTCAGCTTGATCCACTCGAGCATACTGTCCAGGTCGTCGCCGCTCTGGGTGTAGCGCGTGGGGAAGTACTCCTCGCGAATGTTCTTTGCAGGGATCACAAAACACAATCATTTGGGTGGCACATAAGGCGAAATCCAACTTACCACCATGCCGGGATCGAACATGCTGAGCAGGAAGACGGCCAGCGAGACGGACCAGAAGATGTTGCGCTGGCGGTGATACCACACCTTGGAGCAAATAGTGGGCGCAATGACGCAGCCCTGCGTGAAGCTGAGGAAGAAGAGCTTGCGGACGGCGAGTCCGATGACGGTGAAGACTAGCATTTGCAGGAAGCTGTACATGTAGTGCAGGTTGAGGATCTGCGCGTTGGCCGTGGGCACCACGGAGCTGCGCCTGGAGGTGCTGCGCTTCCGGCGTCGTTGGCCACTGGTGCTAGAGCTGGGGCCGGCGGAGGGCTCGCCCTCCTCCTGGCTGGGGGACTTGGACGGCAGAGTTTCAGTGGGATCTGCTGTGGACTCGGGTTCGTCTTCGGGGCCACCATGATCTTTTTCCACCTCCTCCTCCTCCTGCGGTTCTGGGTGCTTATCCTCCTCGGGCAGCTGGTCAGCCCCGTCACCGGCCGCCTCTTTGGTTCCCTGTGCCCGCTCCTTCCGCTGCTTGTCACTGTTCCGATGAATCTGGGCCCTCAGCCGCCGGATGTCCTGCATGAAGTCGTCGCGGGCGGGCGGTTGCTCCTGGCGCAAGCGGGCCTGGGCGCGTTTGTACCGTTCATAGTCATGGTCACAGGTCTCGAGTAGTCGGAAACACTGCTGCAGTTGCTGCTCCGTCTGCCGGTTCGACATGTCGCCCATGGAGACGCGGTGCTCCTCAAGGAAGTCCTCCAGCACGTAGTTGCGGGCCCGCTCGCGCTGCTCCTCGCTGGCGGCGCTGACCGGGGCGCCGCTCTTGCGCCAGCGGCGGAAGAACATGGCTAGCATGACCACGCCGTACATGCAGTACGGCTTCACGATCATCGTCTTGACCAGCTGCCATAGTTCCGACCAGGCGATGCGCGCGTACAGCGGGTTGCAGGCGGAGAGGTGGGCCACGAAGCCCACGTTGACCTGCAGGGCCCAGTGGGCCCACAAATCGCAGTAGTGCGTGTTAGCGCCATCAGGCACACTGACCACACCCGCCCGGTTGAGCAGCTCTAACAGCTTGCCCTGCATGCTGCTCGCGAAGAGCTGCGCCAGCAGGATGAACTTCAGCGAGAAGTAGTCGCCCTGCAGCGGATCGTGGGCGTGCCCTAGCCTCCGGCTGCGCACCTGCCGCAGCTGTCGCACCACCGTGATTAAGAACAGGGACAGCGAGACGCTCAGCTGCCAGGTGAAGAGAAGCTGGCTGTTGCCGTGCGACATCACAAAGGCCAGAGCGTGACCAAGCAGGTGCGACAGCGAGTAGTCCAGCGCAAAGGCGTTGGCCAGGCCCGTGGGCAGGGCGCTCACGTTCCAGGAAGTCATCACGATCACGATCTGGGTGGTGAAGATGAAGGTGGAGAACTGCCAGGACAGCAGGGCGCAGGCGGTGAACAACGACATGGCGAAGATCTGCAAAAAGCAAGGGCTATCATTAATTGGTCTTTGTTCGTTTTACAAACTGGGAGGTTACCATAAACAGACGCGAGGTGTGCCGCTGCCGATGTATGATCCTACCGATGCAGATGCATAGATAGAACATCTGCAGAAATATAAACGGAAAGGCAAAGTTCTCCCGCGCCAGCGGTCGCTCGTAGATTTTGGCCACGAAGCTGTGGAACATCAGGTACGAGATCACGCCATATATCCCCCCGAACACGTTCTCGCTGAGCAGCGTCCCGTAAAGATAGAGGACCAGCAGGGTCACCCCGCCCATGAGCCACACGAACTCCAGGTAGAACTGCATGGGCTGTACCATCGGATTGAAGCCGGCACGTACCACGTGGAAGAAGTACCTTTTTGGGGGAGAGGGAGTAGTTGGGTTATGGGCTGCCTTCGACTCTAGTCCTCCTCCAGCCACTTACGCCGTGACCAACTCCGGCAGAACGTAGAACCGCTGCAGCACATTGACGCTGTGCGGATACTCGATGTCCGTGACGTTCTTCAGCTGCTCATAGCCGTGCCAGAAGTCCGGTCCGTCGGCCAGTCGCTTGTAGAAGGCGTAGTACAGCGCATCCTCGCGCCGCAGGAGCGCCTCCCGTTCCAGCTGATTGAGCTGCTGGATGTTAGTGCGCGTCTCGAAGATCACGCGCACATGCTGCACGTACAGGAAGAAGAAGCCGGAGCCTGGGGATCAGAGGTGCAATCGGGGATTCCTGATTAAACTGGGTTCCCCCCGAGGGCGGAAGAGGCGTGGCAGAGGCGCCCGCCGGCTGCACTCACCGATTAGAGCGTGCGACAGGATCACGTACAGATTGGGCTCGCGCATCGTGCTGCCGTTGCGGTTCTGGTCTCGTCTCACTGGGTGGCTGTGTTTGAAGTGGCAACCATTATTTATTTCACAACGATTATTGCTCCCTTTGCACAATAAAAAAAAACAGACACACACCGATCAGCTGTTTTTGACCATGACCGTGCTGCGCCAACGTATCGCGCCGGCGAAACACACATTCGGGCTAGTCGGTCACACTGGCGAAAATTTGATATTAGGTACTTATGAATGTACCTTGGTACAATTTCACAGTATTAATGCCTACGCCAGATTAATCATTATAGTTCATATAGTTCTTTGTATATTATAACTGAAAAGATAAAAGTAGAAAAAGTATTTCACAACAAACTCATCAATATTTACCCTTCAAAAATAAATCTTTCTTGTAACTATTTTAAAAACGAACATATCAATGAACTTTAGTAGGTTATCCAATTGTCAAAGATTTTTACTCAAAAAGGACATTTTATTATCTGGCGTGGGTTGGGATAAGCGTTTTATTGGTGCATCGAATTTTTGGGAATACGGTTCCGTAATTCCGTCCACGACTAAACCTAGCTTTAAACCTACCATGGAAACGAAAAAACGGACTCATTTACTTTGTTTTTTTTCAGGCAAAGGCGTACAAGTATTCTCATCAGGAAATAGCTTTTTCTAGTATTTTCATGTCCTTAAATACTAAAGTATATTTTCCTGGCAGTGGTATTTTTGGACGCAGACTGCTACGGTCGCACTGTGGTACAATATTATTTCCAGTAAAGGAAAGGGAAAACCCCGAAGAAAACACGGAATCACCATGAACCGTTACGCGGTAAGCTCGCTGGTGGGCCAGGGATCCTTCGGGTGCGTCTACAAGGCGACGCGCAAGGACGACAGCAAGGTGGTAGCCATCAAAGTGATCTCCAAGGTAAGTGCTAACTGCTGGTGGGCAGTGCAAACGCAACAAGTACACGAACTCTTCATGTCCTGCAGCGTGGAAGGGCCACCAAGGAGCTTAAGAATCTGCGCAGGGAGTGCGACATCCAGGCCCGACTAAAGCACCCGCACGTCATCGAGATGATCGAGTCCTTTGAGTCGAAGACGGACCTCTACGTGGTCACCGAGTTCGCGCTGATGGACCTGCACCGCTACCTATCGTACAACGGAGCCATGGGCGAGGAGCCAGCGCGCCGGGTGACCGGGCACCTGGTGTCCGCCCTGTACTATCTGCACTCCAACCGCATCCTGCACCGAGACCTCAAGCCGCAGAACGTGCTGCTGGACAAGAACATGCACGCCAAGCTCTGCGATTTCGGGCTGGCCCGCAACATGACGCTGGGCACCCACGTGCTTACCTCGATCAAGGGAACGCCCCTGTACATGGCCCCGGAGCTGCTGGCGGAGCAGCCGTACGACCACCATGCGGACATGTGGTCCCTCGGCTGCATCGCCTACGAGAGCATGGCCGGGCAGCCGCCGTTCTGCGCCAGCTCCATCCTCCACCTGGTCAAAATGATCAAGCACGAAGACGTGAAGTGGCCGAGCACGCTAACCAGCGAGTGCCGCTCCTTCCTGCAGGGTCTGCTCGAAAAGGATCCCGGCATGCGTATTTCGTGGACGCAGCTGTTGTGCCACCCCTTCATCGAGGGCCGCATCTTCATCGCCGAGCTGCAGGCGGAGGCGGCCAAAGAGTCGCCCTTTACAAATCCCGCGGTCAAGGTGAAGCTGGCTAAGCCTTCCTCAAACAAAGAGGAGACTGGTGATCTGGAAGAAGCCCTTGCCGCTTTAAACTTCGGCGAGGCGCGTCAGGAGAACATAAGCACCTCCCGCGACAGCATCAACGCCATTGCGCCTAGCGATGTAGAGCATCTGGAGACAGATGTGGAGGACAACATGCAACGCGTGGTTGTTCCGTTCGCGGACACCTCTTTCAGGGATCTGGCCGGTGTCGGTGTGCGGGGATTGCCGGTGGTCCACCAACCACTGGTTAACTCGCATACCTGCTTCGTGAGCGGCAACTCGAACATGATCCTCAATCACATGAACGACAACTTTGACTTTCAGGCCTCCTTGCGAGGCGTGGTCGCCAAGCAAAAAGTCGTTCCTCCCGTGAAGCAGTCGCGAAGCAAGGATCTGGAGAAGCGGAAGCTCAGCCAGAATCTAGACAACTTCTCGCTGCGCTTGGGTCAAAGCGTCGACACGGAGGCGCAACGCAAGACCACTGAGATTCTCACCCAGGAGAAGCTGACACAGGAGAAGAAGCCCCCTTCTCAACCCAATCCTCAGCCACCGCAGCAACAAACCCAGCAACTAAAGCACTCAATGCACTCAACCAACGAGGAGAAGCTGAGCAGCGAGTGAGTGGCCCTAGCAAAGCATTGCCTAGACCCCATAGCACTCACTATTCCGATTTCTCATCACAGCAACACACCGCCCTGCCTGCTTCCAGGATGGGACAGCTGCGATGAGTCCCAGAGTCCGCCCATCGAGAACGATGAGTGGCTGGCCTTCCTAAACCGATCGGTGCAGGAGCTGCTCGACGGCGAACTGGACTCACTGAAGCAGCACAACCTGGTGAGCATCATTGTGGCGCCGCTGCGCAACTCCAAGGCCATTCCCCGGGTGCTCAAGAGCGTAGCCCAGCTACTGTCGCTGCCCTTTGTGCTGGTGGATCCCGTGCTGCTCGTCGACCTGGAGCTGATCCGCAACGTGTATGTGGACGTCAAGCTGGTGCCCAATCTCATGTACGCCTGCAAGCTGCTTCTGTCGCACAAGCAGCTCTCGGACTCCGCCGCCTCGGCCCCACTAACGGTGGGCTCGCTCAGCCGGACGCTGCGAAGCATCCCGGAGCTAACTGTTGAGGAGCTTGAGACGGCCTGCAGTCTGTACGAACTGGTCTGCCATCTGGTGCACCTGCAGCAGCAGTTCCTCACCCAGTTCTGCGATGCCGTGGCCATTCTGGCGGCGAGCGATCTCTTCCTTAACTTTCTCACTCATGGTAAGCGCTCAATTTTTAGTCTGAGCCTGCCCCTTAACCATTTCAATTCCGCGACAGACTTTAGACACTGTGACTCCGACTCTGCCTCTGTGCGCCTGGCTGGCTGCATGCTGGCCTTGATGGGCTGTGTGCTGCGCGAGCTGCCCGAAAACGCCGAGTTGGTGGAGCGGATCGTATTCAATACGCGGCTAAACTTCGCCTCGCTCCTGCAGAGCCGCCACCACCTGTTACGGCAACGAGCCTGCCAGCTCCTGCGTCTGCTGGCCCGCTTCAGTCTGCGAGGAGTTCAGCGCATTTGGAACGGGGAGCTGCGATTTGCACTGCAACAGCTGTCCGAGCACCACTCGTACCCGGCCCTTCGCGGAGAGGCCGCCCAGACCCTCGACGAGATCAGCCACTTCACTTTTTTCGTTACCTAGCCGGCACTTTCTTTTATTGGCCTCAGGCGTCTCTATCCGAGCAGATCCTGAAAGTTGCCCTGGAAGTATTCGAGCAGCTCGTCGATGTAGTTTCCGAAGCGGTCAAAGCTAAGTAGGTAGTCCTCGCTGCAGTCCTGTTCGTACATCTCGTTCAGCTTGGATACATCCTTGTCGGAGAGGCCGCGTCTCTGGCCCAGCGAGGCGTACGGATCCTGGCAGCGAATGATAGGGATGAGCAGCAGGACATTAAACTATCAGTAACCATTAAATCTCCTAAAGAATCTCACCGCCCTTCAACAGAAACGGGTTTTATGTTCTGTTAACCACTAATTATGGAACTACTAAACTGTAAACATTTTTTGAAGAATACATCCAACTAAACAAGTAATTAATTTGCTTGTACAAATATTATAGGCATACCTGAAACTAATAATGATTTTTATTGTTCGAAATAGCTGTCTTATTTTCTAAGAAATTATCGAATCATTAATTTAATCAGATCATTGTCTGTCTTAGATATGCCTATATAACTGTTAAATTTAAATGTTTCATGAACCGAGAACTGTTTTCTAAATGATTGAGAAATCTTATTGACCCCCCATAATATATAAGTTTAATTAAAATGCACATTATCAAATGGATCGATATATCAATTATTGTTGATGTAAAATTGATGAAGAGGAATTAATAATTCTTCGGTAAAAATATATTAATGTTAGAGTAAATAAGTTGTATAGGATAAGTTGCCTATAATAGGCAAATTCACTGAATGCTCATAAAATATCTTCAATGGATAAGTAGTATCATAACTATTGAATGTAAACGATTAGCAATAAATGCTCAATTTATGTATGTTCTATTAAGGAGATTTGTATCCTATTTGGCAACTGAAAACTTCTAAGAGTTGGGACTACGAGATGCAAGGTATATTTATGAACCCTTTGGGATTAGATACTCACCAAGGGCTCGATGGTGGCCTTGCCGTTTTTGCTGAACGCCCGAGAGCTGTAGTGCATGACGCTCTGGTAGTCATACTCCACGCCAAAGTTGGTGATGTGAGTGCGGGCGTACTTGTTGAAGTTGTGCGCATGCCCATCAAGGATGTTCTCCCAGTTGATCTTGACGTACTCATCCCGCTCCGTGGCGCTCTGCTGGTGGTAGAAGCCGAGCGCGTGCAGCAGCTCGTGGACCACCACTCCATGGGTGACACACTTGGGCGTGTTCAGGTTGAGCACCTGGCCACCGGAGCGCCTTCCGACGCTCGACCAGCAGCCGGAGTAGTTGCCCTTGATGAGCAGCCAGTGCTTGTCGCCCTGCTCGTACGGCCGGAAGCGGATGCAGGTGCGGTCGTGGTACTCCTTGAAGGCCTTCAGTATCACCATGGTCTGGTTGGCGGCTGCTTGGATTGGGCGGATTATAGGTACAACTGGCGGGACAAGACTACTCACTGAAATCCTGGGGGTCTATGTAGAAGGGCACGGCGGCCTCTGGCCATGTGAGCCGCTCGTTGAGCAGCCCGTTCCTGAGCAGCTCGCGGTGCAGCATGATGTCGCCCTCGAAGAGGCCGCAGTGCTCCCAGATGTTCGTCTCGCTCTCCTCCGTCCAGAAATTGAAGGCGGGACCTGGAAGGGTGTTGGGTTGAGTATAAGTAGGAGTTTGGATGATACAGCTATGTCGTTTAAAAGTGTTTTAACAACAGTTTCCCTGTATTGCGGATTTATAATATTATTTCTTGATTGGAACTTCTACATCATTGCAATTTCTTTTTTAACCAAAAAAACAAAACAATATTTGTTTACTTTAGTGCCCTCATAATATTTCAGCTATAAAAACTTGGATACAAACTTGTTAGCTTAGCGAAACCATAAAACTAACTAAATCACACACATCGAAATTCAAACATATTGTGTAAATGATCCAAAAATGAAACAAATAAAAATGGTCTCCTCCTAAAATCTCTGAAGAGGGTATAATTGGTTTTTAAACACTTCGAAGTAAGTCGATGCTCTCGAATATATTAGAGTTTTGTCCATGTCACGGGTACATTTGAACAGAACCTAGAAAACATTTTTCAGATTGATCTTCTGTCGCTTTTGAGGAGGTTTCCGGGGACTTAAGGGTGTTTCCATTCCACTTTTTTGACATTCGGGTGGAGTTTGGCTGGGTGCTCCATGTGGGTACCTACTGTTGTGGCGGCGCAGCATCTGCATGTTGGCGCCCCATCTCGGAGTGGGCGGCACGGGGTGTCCGCGCAGTTGGCCCCTCCTCGTGAGTGGTGACCCCGACTCCGGCTGCAAAGTGGCGCCCTGGGCCAAGGCCGCGATCCAAAGTAGACCGGGAACGATGAGCGCGCTCCTCGCCATTGTTTTGGGTAAAAGAAACGCCGGCTGGGCCGCGTCGACGCTTTTATATGGGACTGCCTAATTGAGGCGGGGCGATTCCAATTGAAAGTACGAGTGAGTACCGTTGACTGAGCGCGACTGACGCCCACGCCGCCGGATTTATGCATAACATAACGGATTTATCGGCTCTCTCTTTCGGCGCGCATTCAAATTCCCCCGCCTCGGCATTTACGGCTTTTGATTTCAAATTTAACTGGGATATTGGGTTATCAGAGGCAACGGTGTGCGCATATGAAAATAGCACACTCGCAGTCGATGGCATTTCCCTTCCTGTCCAGGCTTTGTCTTTGTCCTATCTTAACGCGATCTCATCGTGGCGCACGTCCGCGATGGAAAGCCGGGAGTTCTTTGACCCCGCCTGTCGATTGATGGCCAATGGCCAATGACAGTTGGCATCTGCATCTGCATCGGCATCTGCATCTGCTGTCGGTGGCAAAAGTGAACGCCAACCACTGGCATCTTCTCCCTTTCTCTGACCCACACCCGGATGAGTGGGTCACTCGGCAGTGGGTCGGCGAGCGGGAGTGGGTCGCAGGGGCACCCACGAGATCAGAATGCGATTCATTCGCCAGCCCACCAACAGGCATTTTGGTCAATCTGTGAGCCGCAATCTAGATCCACAGCGGCTTTCTTGTGGCAGCTCTAGCTCACCAATTACCAACACATTTCTTTCTAACTCGTTGTGGAGCGACGGCTCGTGTTGCTGCTGCTGCCGCTGCACTTTCACTACGAAATTGCACCAAAATCTAAGCCACATTGCAATGGATTTTGAGAACATTTTGGTCATGGCAAGTGGAAATGCCTAGCCGGCAGCAGCAGCAACAGCAGCAGCAGCATCAGCGGATGCAGCAACTCCGGGCACCGGGCACAAAATCAGGGGCAACGACAGCAAAACACATTTGACGTACTATCTGCGATGTACTTGATCTTTGTCGAAAACTTGACACACTTTTTTCGGTCAACGGCAGGCGGTTGGCAGTTGGCGGCTGGCGGCAAATGGCAACGACTTCCAGCTCGACAGCGGAAAATTCGAGGGAAATCGCTAGCTTGCTGGCTAACTGGCAGTCGCGTCATCAGCATCGTTTCAAATGCAATTTTAAATTGAGAAAGTTAAGCGCGCAGAGATTGTGAATTTGCGACAAGCGGCAATTGCAGTTTGCCGGGGCCGCAGATGCAAAGATACATGGACACAGAGATGCGGAGATGCAGAGTCTTTGGCTCCAGGCGGTAATTGACTTCCTGCATGGCGCTGAGAATGCCGCTGCAGTGCATCGGATGGTGGGCTTGGATTTGGGTTTGGGTTTTGTTCTTGGCCTTTTGTTTGTCGTTTTTCACTTTTGGCCAACGGCAGCAGTCACTTTCTGCGCCACTGGCCCCGAAACGGGCCTTGTGTGCGGAGCCATCAAGAGGCAAGCTATGCGGGCTAGGAGCTCCACCGTTCCTCTCCAGAGATCAGATTTCTCCACTTCCTTTTGGCCGCTGCTGACACAGAACTGTCGTCTTGTCGTGGCAAATCGAGGCTTCGGGGGCATGGAATGGCAATCTCGAGTGGAACCGAAGGGCTCCCTGCTGAAAAGACCAGAAATGTGTTCGGATTTCACCCGTCGCCGAAGCGATTTGGCTTTCCACAACTTCTTCCCCTGTTACGGCACCAAAAACGCGCAAAAACCGCCACAGCAACTCACCAAAACAAATCCAAATACAAAACCGAAACCAGTTGCGGCAGTTTCCTTCCGGAATCAATTATTTTTCACTTTGCTGATTTTTCACGTTCATGGTCACAAATGTGCAGCAACAACGCGAACGTGCCACAGCGCCAGTGGGCCAGTAGTGGCAGCCACGCCGGCAAAAATTCACGACTGACTGCCTTGTTTTGTATGTTGTATTTTGTATTTTGTAGTTTGTAGCTTGTTGTTTGTTGTTTGTTGCTTGCTGTTTTCTGTTTTCTGTTTGTTTGGCGTGCAGTGGTCTGTGGTTTGTATTTTGTGTGTTTTGCCGGCGGTTTCGTTTTGCGCATTTTTGGCTGATGCCGCCTTTTGGCTGGCTTTTTGTGTGCTTTTCCGACTGCATCGCTTCCCATTTTGCGTTAGCGACATTTGGTCGAGTGAGTAGCCGAGTAGCCAAGTGACGGACTGGACTGGACTGGATTAGACTGGTGGACTTTTCCAAGAAATTTCTATCGCCAGCTCGACATTAGTTTAATTGGTGAAATTGGCTTCGGATTTTTGTGGTGCTTTGCACAACGGCCCCAAACGCATTGGGCGAAAGTATCAGCCAGCCAAATTCGGTCATCCAGAGGAGCCTGATTAATGAGACTTTATTTACCGGCCACTTTTGGGGACTCCCCGACCTCGCTCATGGCCTAAAGGGCTGAGCTCAGCGGCTGCTCATCACCTACCTGTGGATACGTAGATACTTATGTAAAAACGCATAATCAAGTATTGCCGACTTCGAATTAAAATTGTGTGCAAATACTTTCAGTTCCAACTTGAATTCTTTATAGGCCACCGCGATGTACTTAGTAATATTTGCTGAGTGACTTGCCATTCTTTGGTTTAAGGTTTGTGTAAATAGACATTTAAAAAGTTCTTCGGAATGGCTACATTATATGTCAAACTCAAATAAAAAATTACCAGTTACCACTTAAGAATTTTAGTCATTATCTGCCTATAAGTCTTATCTTACTCCTAAAAACGGAAAACTATTAACTCTAATCAAATTCATAGCTGTGAAAAGAAAGATATGTTCAAGAAAATATTTTTACTATTTTATAGCTGCAAAGATATGTAAGCATTGACTGTCAAAGTTAGTTAGATATTATCTAAACAAAGTAGTAACTAAGCGACATCGAAGAATTAAAAATTAGGCATAATCGTAACTAAAATTTAAAATATATTTAAAAAAATCTCAAAGCAAGTAAACTATTCTTCACAATTTTGTTTATCAATTGTTAATCTTACATATTACTGTAATATGTAAATAATTCGTACATAATGTTAAAAACAAGTTTAATAAATACAAGCACAAGTGATGCAAGTAAACAGTTTGGTTTCATAATCTACAATCTTATTTCTTTTTTTTTAATTTGCCTGGTACAATCATGTATTCGTATGTACTCGTAATTTAAGATTTAATATTTTTTTCGTTTGAGTAAATGATTGTTTTTTTTTCGAGTGTAGATTAAGGTAATCCACAATTATCCACATCCCTTGTCGCAATCGAATTGAAACATTTAGTTCAGACGATTTCCTCAGATTTTTCAAGTGGTCCAAAGCGAAACGAAAGACTTAGGCAACGAACTTGCTAGAAAAGTTGCAGCAATTTGCAAGCAGAGCGAAAGTTATCTTGCAACTGATTGATTACCAACTTTCTACTCCCAGAGAAATTATAATATGTGCAATTTGAGATGATTCTGAAGGAGGTGGGGGAGGGGGCTTGGGGGGCCAGCAATTAGAGACAGAGCGAAAGCAGAACATTGCAGTGGAGTACCGGTATCCCCATCGCCATCGCCATATAGCCGCCTCCATCAAATGTTAATGAACTTTGCGTGCATACATTGCAGGAGCCATCACATCCGCCTGTGCCGAATCCCCGAAAATGTGGCACATGCCACACGATGTTGCCATTGAAAGCGCAGGTCCAGGCCGTCCAGCTTACCTAACAGGCGGAGCTTAAGGCCAGGGTTTGTGCCACTTTGAGCCACTCTATGCCACTTTATGCCGCACAGCACATTGCGCATACGCCACCGATCCTCAGCTGGTGGCTCTCTTTGGCCCACTCTTTGCCGTCGGATCACTCTCTTTTCAGTCGCGGTTTGAGCGCTTTGGCCACTCCACTCCGCTCGAACATGTTTGAGCCGCCGGCCGCTCGATTCCGCCGCTGTTATCACTTGGCGCGCGATTGGAGCAAGCCATTCGGCAACGCGCCGCGGCGTTGATAAGACGCGGCTCCAACTGAGCAGCTGGCCAGCTTGGCATCGCGGCAACTGCAACTACAACTGCAGTCAGTTGTGTCTGATGTCTGATAACAAGCCGAATGCCAAATGTATGCCAAATCAAGTGCATTGAACTCGAGCGGGGCCACGACTGCGACGGCGGCGTCGACTGCGACTGCGACTGCGACGTCGACTGAGACGTCGACAGCGGCAGCGCTGTCACTAGACACATATCCTGAAATATAATTTTTTAACAAATTTTAGTAATTATTATTTCAAATGGCTTTGCCGTTTGTTTTGCCGTTCTGTGGTTACCAATTTTTTTACAAGTAATACAGAAAATACATTTTAACTGCATTTTGTAAATTAATATTATACATAGTATAGTTTTATTAAAATATTATAAATATCTGACAAAATCGGTAGTTTTTTGGCTATGAAAAACAACTATTTTCGTTTCTTAAAGCGAACGATCAAAGTTTAAGTTTCCACGTAATAAATAAGTTAGTAAGTATGTAGTTTTCGTGTAGTTTAGAATATTTACATAATAATGGGAATTTATTTTATTTATTTTTATTTTAGGAAAAGGGCGTTTAAGGTTTAAACTAATTGAAATGCAATACCTTTTTTTGAGAAATTGAACATTATAAATACGAGAAAAATATAATGAAATATTAAAGTTGCAAGTGTTTGTCACCTGTTTAAAAATGCTTTTAAAGGGGGCTTAACCAGATGGTTATTCAAACATTCTGCAGGGGATCACTTTTACTTTCAGGACACTTTTCGCTGAGGTAGAAGTAGGAAACCAAAAAATAAAAATAAAAGACTCTCATTGGTTCAGCGAAGATCCCCGTCAGCTGCTGCCTAAAAGCAAATTTATAACCAAACTTTCTAAAGTGTGAAAAGAAATAAGAAACATTAAAATTAAACAAGAACTGCTGCTGCTGCTGCGCGCAGAATCTGCAGCCGCAACGCTATGGCAAAGGCAGAAAGAAATTTTTACGGCCTATCTGAAGAGATGGGTTGG